GGGGTGGACCTGGCCTAGGGCGATCAGCAGTGGTGCCAGTTTGTTGCAGTCGAGTCTGTATATCATAAACAGTCCGATGGCTGCACCCTATTGTCCTTGCAACGTGACTTACTGACGTTCACGCTTCACATTTGAGAGGTGAGAGGCTTAAGAATTGGCTGTTCTGAATAGTGCTTTAAAGTGTTTGTTCTCTTTGTACGGTTGATGGGAATGCACGCAGAATGGTAAGATCACGTGACTAGTTGCACGTGAAAAACACGTTTTAGCTCTATTGTGGGGTGCACGATGTTTGGATTGACTTAAATGTGCTGTGGATTAATATTATGCTCCCAAAAAAACTGTCTACTATAACATTTCATATTTTAATATACAAACATGAATTGTGAAGTTTTTATTTTGACTCAGTATTTCCCAGTAGGTGATGCATTATTTACCATACTCACCAAGGAGAGGGGCATGGTAGACCATTTGCTCGTCAATATTTAACTTGTTTTCATGACTCACTGTTGAATGCGTGTGTGTATCGCTGTCAATATAGGATAGTACACTTTCACTTGAAGGCCGCGGGTAACACGAATGCTACGTAAGTGCCTCTAGACAAAGATGGGATTCTCAATCAACACTTTTGCAGGTAATTACGTTTTTTGTCATAATCCATTTTTAAAACCTTCCTGGTTATACAAGGGGACCGCGAAACGCTATTTAAGTGGAACTCCAGAATGTACCAGAGATATTCACGCGACAATAGAGGCGATTTATTATTTTGTGACATGAAGTACAAATGATATCTAAAGCAGGACTTTTATTCATATTTGATTATTTGCATGAAACAAAAGAGCCCCCAAACAATATCTAGGTACCCCTGTGGCTTTTGGATATTTTACAATAACATGTAATGTTCTCATATTTCGATTGAAACAACTTCGTCCACTCTTTAAATCATCACAAGATTCATTTCAGGGCTCAAGTTTGCAATAATACACTACTCATTATACATTCCATGGACATTGAATGTAAAGTTTATTTTATTGCTGAATGGGATTGCCTGAATAATGAAGAGCATGTTAGTTTTGTACAGTGCACTTGGACAGCATCTCTGACCACAAGCGCGTTAAATGTTTCAGTTTCTTACACCTGATAAAGGAGTAAGGATTAACTCCAAAACGTTGTCTTCCTCATAATAAAGAAGTTGGCATCCACGAAACTGTCTTCCTTAATTCAAATTGGCACTGGGTGTACTGATAATAGCAACTCCAAAGGGATAAAGAAGTGCGGAGGCAAAACATTATCAATTTGACAAATATGTTGCCATTGTGGTCTGGAATAAAGTTTGTGAAATTCATTTCAAAGGCAAGCTGCATTACTTGGTCGTCTAAAGATTGTCTTAAACGTCTTGTCACTGATAGAAAGAAAGGAAACGAAACTTGACGCCTTTCACCTTCAGTATGAAAAACGGATGCTCTCTCAGTTAGATATTGTTGAGAGCATACATATGGCTCTGTCAAATTTCATAAACATCTCAGTGTTTCTCATTTGAATAGATTATAACAATGTTGGAATATATTCAGAGAAAGAAAATAAGTATACTTTCAAATTGAACATATTAACGAAAGTTTAATGTTGAGAGAGTGAGTTTAGTTTTACGCCGCACTCAGCAATATTCTAGCTATATGGGGGCGGTCTGTAAATAATCGAGTCTGGACCAGACAATCCAATGATCAACAGCATGAGCATCGATGTATGATATTGGGATACGATGACATGTGTCAACCAAGTCAGCGAGCCTGACCACCCGATCCCGTAAGTCGACTCTTACGACAAGCATGGGTTACTGAAGATCAATTCTACCCTGGATCTTCACGGGACAAAGTTTGATTGTACTACTTTCTTTCATAATATTATTTTCTAAACCGAAATATCTTCTTGCTGTCAACATTCATTCCTCTGATCATTTAAATTAATTTCAGTTATTTTCTCATGAATTGAAGTTTATTTCAAAAGCTATTGTACGTTCTAATACAGGGACGCGGGCTATTTGTGTTGTTCCTGCTGTTAACTGTTTATTGTTAATACATACATGTTGTTATTAATAAACAATGTACTCTCTGGTGGGATTTGTGCAATTGGTAAACGAACAGTATTCATTGTGTATTTCATTATCCATTTGAAATTATTTGTTTTAATTATCTCCTTGCTGAATTGGAAACTCAACATAACAGCATATCTAACACTGTATTCTTGTATTCAACAATTGTAGCCATGCAATTCCTTTCAAAACGTCATATGCTTCAGTGTTCTTTCAAATGGTCAAAATATTGAAAGAAGGTCGTGATGTTTTCTCTCGTCCTGAAGGTCAGTTACTGTTCCAAAAACAAAATAAGGTCGTAAAGCCTCATTTCATCCTTATGACCTGATAACTGTTCTGACAATAAAGTAATGTTTTCTCTCATTCTTATGGCCAGTTAACTGTTCTGATAAGATAAGGTGCTAATGTATCCTTTCATCCTCACGACCAGACAATGCTTTGAGACGACATGGCTGGTTTGTCTCTTGAATCGATGGCATTGCATTATGGGTCGATTATTTGATGACTTGGGCTGGGATGAAAACGATAGTATGTTTCAGACAATATTGGCAGATTTGCCAAAGTTCATTTGGTTATTGGGCATGTCATGTACTGTGAGTACAGAAAAAAATCTATTTCAGTGAAATGACCCAAAATGCATCCATACTAAAAGGAAGCCACACTTAAGTGTTTTATCCTTATTACAGGCTTCTACTTTATCGTGTGCTGTTCCTGCACAGACATCAACGTCATTACTAATGGACACAGCACGGTGCACAATACACACGGCGATGGCGTTGACGTGAAGAATAGGTCAGCAATTCTCTTCCGGGTCAAAGGGTGTAATGATGGACACATACGACTGTATGATGGCCCCGACTTCAGCGCAGCCAAGCATGCTGACATTGTGCTTGGTATGCGCGAAAATAGTCAGTGTACAATGAAACCGTGCAGTAGTTGTTCACACGAATACTCTCAAAGACACTCGTACTTAAATTGCAAGGAGATGAGGCCAATGTGGGTTAACTGGACTGGCAGATTGCTTAGCCTCGGTGAAGGGGCTTACGTGGGAGAACAAACCTTTATGTTTACTAAACAGCAGAGGGACTTCGAGGTCCAGTATTTTGCAGTTGGATCCGGTTGGAGTGCAGTATTTGACTGGGAATTTGGTAAGTAACACCAACAGCTCTTAGATACGTGTGGGTCCTGATTTGTTTTATAGATATTTTCATCAATTTGTAAAATATTGGTAAAATATTAAGGTTATTTAAAGGTTATTTTAAGGGAATTTGGTAAGTAACCAATAGCTCTTAGATACGTGTGGGTACTGATTTGTTTGGGAGATATTTTAATCATTTTGTAAAATATTCACAATTTTGCATGTTGGAACGAACAACAATCTCAATTCTTTTGTTATTAGCATATTGCTCATAATTATTGTGCTCATTAGTGCATCAAATATTTATCTATTTTTTGTGTTGACAGAATATTTCCTTACGTCGTCATATATTTTATGTGCTTCTGGCCAAGAAGACTTTGGTGCAAATACTTACCTTACGTTATCTCTTTACCGGCGTTAATAAGATGCTACACGTATAAAATCAGGGTGGGTCACCTCATAATTTTATCATTTGTTATTAACTGCTGTACTAAACAATACTGAGGTTTCATGGCGGTCCTATGTAAATAATCGCATGTATACAATTTAGATAGATGATGTGTGTTCTTTCTTTAAATAATAAAATTTGCCAAAAAAATAGAAAAGCTGCAAAAGTATGTTCATTATCATAAATAACATGCCTCACCAATGGAACCTGTTGCAAACACATGCAAAGGCAAGCAAACTGTTCACGTGGAAAATCAAGGGAATACAAGGTCCAGATAATGTCCGAATGTATATACATGTAGTACGTTTGGCAAGCCTTTTCGAGGCCGTGAATATAACCCGCATCAACTAACATTTGAGCAGGATTCCACTGACAAGAGCATGCTTGCTTGTTTTCAAAAGTGCTATCTCCCAATTTCAAGACCTACTTCAATATCACTCAAAAGTAATTTAGAAAAAAATAGCTTCTATCCACCACCAAGACCTGAGGCTTTCCTGGGAGCTTTTAGGACCTCTGCGGTGGAAGGCCTATATGCGGAGGCTAGAAACTTTCCCTGGAACAACGCCGCATTAAACTTTCACTGCAGTATATCACTAAATTCCGTTCGAATGAGTACAATCCAGCAAACAATTGTGTTTACAACCCTCTCTATGAAAACCTCTCTATCTGCCAAACCACTTGGAATCAGAATTCAAGCACACATATCTGCAGCTAAAATTGATCTCAATATCATAGCACCTTACCGACTTGTGTCTTCGCCACAGTGGCCGTTGGCGAAACCACAGGTCGATCTTACCCTCACAAAGCTCAATAGGTCCGAAACAAATCCACCATCATGCATATACTGCCTGACTGCGTGGACTTTTCGACTGCAAGGGATTCACATTATGATGCGAAATATCTGAAAGATCTGTTTTTCCGCGTTAGCTGTAGCTAGGCATCTCATTGTGAGCTATCTGAGGGAAGTTGATCTGTATCGTAACTTGTAACTATGTAATGTGAATAACGAACTGCGTGCCTTTGAATTTAGTGCTATGACATGTTCTGTTTTTATATAACAATGTAATGAATATGTTTGCTTTTAAAATAAAACTCATTTGGACTTTGTACATAAAATGTGCACTAATTCAGACTTGATCTCGTCACTATATGGCTGGAATAATGCCGATGTGACGTAAAACCCAACTCAACCCAATATCGCTCGACAGTAAAGGAAGGTTGACTGTTGAAAAGTTATTCGTCTTTGTGAACAGTTCTTTGTTACTTCGATTCTTCACGAATTTATCTGGATATAAAACATAGGCTGTAAAACTCTGCTCTTTGTTTAGATGGCTACGCCGGGAATTACTTTGAGCGGGTGGTGCCTTATGGTTGGAGTACACGCCAAACGTTGTCTTCAGTGACGGCCTCCTCTGTGGTAAACTGCATCATAAGTTGTCACGGCAGGATCAGCTGTAGGTCAGTCAGCTACCAGAACACGACCAACACCTGTCAGTTATACTTTGAACGATCACGATCCGTTGATATCCACCCTGACAACACTTGGAAAACATGGATTGACAGAAATGTGTGAAAGATGCTCCTTATGACTTTGCTGTGTATTGCAACCGAAACCCATGCAATGGGCCATTCGTGACCCACTCGTGTTATTTTGGGACATGCTGAATAGTGACTTGTGACCCTCTAGAAAGGATTTCATATTGGGTGTAAGAACATCAGAACTACTTCAAACAAGAACAACAACTCTATTTCTGTTTTATTCCAACATTTATAAACGTTACTGAAGAAATCAAAATGGCTGCTTTTAAAAGATTTTAACCTATTTTCAACATGAATGATAACTTAAGATTAAGATGATGATTTGTTGAAAACATATTCTAATGTAATTATTACCAGTTGTTCACCTTATATTTCCAACTATGAATTTTTAAAGACAGCTTAAGAACAGCAAATGTGATTTCTTTTCATGACTAGGCAATTAAAATAACATTTTATTTCAGCTGTTATAAGCCCCAAAATAGACACCTCAAAAATGGCTTTAAAATATATCTCAAACTGAAGCAAACACACGTGTCTGTGTATTTGGACCCCTCACCGTTCGGCCACATCCCAACTAGTCGAATTTCAGCGTAGTAAAATTAGAGCCAGTGATACTTGGTCTCTTTGTATTTTGGTAATTGCAAATGGCCAATGCACATAGCTGTAGTAAATTAGGAGCCACGTGACCATCTTAGTACTCCGAAATAATTGTCCCGCTTTAATTCTCTCTAATTTTCTCTGCGGAAACCGAGTTTTCGATAAATCTCTAAATGAAGCAAATGTTGACTGATCAAAAACGTTAATAAACTGAAATTAAAATTAAAATTTTAAATGTACTAGAGCTCACTTATACAAGTTCAGTGCATAATTTCTACTTGCACAATCGGAAATTTCATTCCTTTTTAGTAGCACCCATTAGGTTTTCCTGGAATTTAGCGAATGACTGGTTTCCTAGAATCGGTTTGAGGGGGGATAGATTGCCTTTATTTCCTCCACGATTGAAGATTACAGGTTATTGAATAGCATTATACATTGGCACACATATCATTTAAATGGCAGGAAGAGGTATGTTCATGATATATATATCATTAGACCACCTGCCAACAATGGTATTTACATCAATGGCATCAAATTGTACAAAGACTTTCAAACAGTTCATTTCTTTCAAGCAAGGTGATAGGGCAGAACATAAGGGTGTGTTTGACAATGTCAGTTGCTACTCTTCCACGCTCGCATTCACCAGATTTGATTTTGCTGACACCGAGATTTGCTATTGTTAATAAATATTTGATTCTGCCGGGAGCATTTAGTGCACATATTTTTGACAGATATTTGTCTCTGTAATGACTTAATAGCATTTTGAAGAGTAGAGATGTATTACAGTGTTGTCAATGTTATCAGTTTGATGTTTGCCAAGACGATATGTGAATACCTTCTTAAAATACATGTCACAGTGCGATCTACAGAGTTTTCCAAACATTACCCGAGCTTGCTTATCTAGGTCTAAACAGTCTATTACAACCGGGTTAGCTGTTTGCTTTGAAAACCTTGTACCTTTTTGCAGACGTATCGTTAGATGGTGTCAAGTTGTATTCTCTAGAGCCAGGTCCCCAGATGTTTCATCCATACAGAGCACAAGGTAGGATTACTCTCTCACAGATAGGCGTGGGTACTATAATTGAGTCCTCCAATGTAGAGTCCAGAGTTGTGATTAACGTTTATCAGTTTCTTGAGTCTTTCACATGTCATTTGTGATCCTTCAATTTCATACTGCTCATATGTACTCCCGCATGTAAGATAGAGTGTTTGTGAGGAAGTTCATCATCTCCGCAAAATACACGTGTACAATGTAAGTAAAAGTGAATTCATTTATTTAATGAGTTCATTTGTACTAACATTGTACACTAGTTGCCATTTGCAAGCATAACAGTACACAATATTAAGCTGTCGTTGGAGACTGCTTACAACTGTCGTGTCATCTGCAAGTAGCTGTCCTGGATAGTGTCCCCAAGGTAGCTGAAGTCCAAGTTCAGATTCATCATGGTAATTGATAAGGTCCATAAAGATAAAGATCACAAAGAACCTGGCAGACATAACGCGACCCTGTCCAACTTCTTGCTTCACTGGATACAGTTCTGATTGACATCCTGAGTGTGTGACGTAGGACTGCATAGACGTAACAGACGCCATGTTTTTCCTGTCGAGATCATGTAGGTTAGCAAATAATCCATTTAACCATACCCTGTTAAAGGCTTTGGCGTTATCCAATAAGGCACAGAAGATTTCCTCTCTGTGTAGTAAGCACGATTTTCAAAGAGACTAAAGCATGATGTCTCAGCTCTGGCAATACCAATTGTAGAGGATATGAAGAAACACTTTTAGCGCTGACCAATGTTTCTATTCTGTTGAGCAGGAAGCGTTCAAGGAGTTTGCTGAGTACCGACGTCAAAGTTATCCCCCTGTAATTGCCAGGGTCTATTTTAGTTTTGCTGTGGCCTTTCTGTATTGGCAGGATTTTACCGATATGATACGAAGAGGGTACACATTCGTATTTTACCATATCTTAAAACAGGATTGACAGGTGGATAGAGTGATCTACCTGCACACGCTTCAAATGTTCGTTGGTAATAGCATCAGGTGCGGGAGATTTACCTGTTTTAGTGATTTTACAGCAGTCCATAGCTCACTACTTGTCACTGGTTTCGTTAGAGGTGAATTTAAAGAGTCACAGAGAGTCAACAGTTTCCGATACTTGCGATGTAAATTCGTTATCACGGTTGTCAAGCATAACTGGTGTAGCAACGTCACTGAAATAGTTTCCAAACATTGAACAGATGTCCTGTAGTTCTGTTGGTAATATTATCTTTATTTGTCTTGAGTTACGTTTAGTCATTCGATAGTATTCTTGAATGTCAACTTCGGCAGCCTTTGGAATTTCAGTTAGTTTGTCGTCTAGTTGTTGTTGTTTCGATCGACGATGTTGTCTTCGGAATATTCGCTTTGCCTCATTGTATTGGATATTATGTTCATCTGTCTCATCGTGAGAGGTTTAAGATTGTCCTTCGTCCAGTATGGTTTCAGGTGTGCTTGATAGGTCGATGCTGGGATACTAAGTGACGCTGATGAGTGAAGTGACTGTATAATATATTCATTGTAGCAGTTGATGTGCTCCTCATGTGATCTGTACTGAGATCTGTAGAGAATAGTGTTTCTGAGGTGATTCTCGGTTTCACATCTGTGTAGCATCAGATCCACCCAGCTGGCTTTCCTCCACTGCAGGGGCGGTGGGGTAGCCTAGTGGTTAAAGCGTTGGCTCGTCACGCCGAAGACCCGGGTTCGATTCCCCACATGGGCACAATGTGTTAAGCCCATTTCTGGTGTCCCCCGCCGTGATATTGCTGGAATATTGCTAAAAGCGGCGTCAAACTAAACTCAGTCAGTCAGTCAGTCCTCCACTGCAGTCTATCACCACGGTAGCGCTTATCTGGGTTGTTAGAGTCGATAAACACAATGACTGGTATATGGTCAGATACATGCTAGTTAACACCAGTGTCTGTTATGTATCCCATCACAGTTACATAGTCTATGTTCATTAGTACATAGTCAATCATGGTACGTGATGATCTACACTTAGTGGTGAAGGTATAGAGAGACTGGTCGTCAGTAGGAACAGCAGATAATAAGTCGTTCTAATAGACATCTTTGTAAGTATGTGGCACGTTTCTTCAGATTACTGTCACGGGATCTGATATCAACATTAAAGTCTCCCAACAGAATAGTATTAATATACTTCCTTATATGAACCTACTATTTAATAACATTTTGAACTGTGGTATTTTCCCAGAAGCATGGAACATCGGAATGATCATGCCATTATATGAGTCAGGTGGAAGAGATGATCCCAATAGCTAGCGTGGAATATCTTTACTAAACGTTATTGGAAAAGTATTCCCTATTATTATTGACCGACGATTAAGATCTTGGATGGAGCTAAACGAGAACTAAATTAGAACTTCTTGCAGAATCCCAATCTGGCTTTCGTAAAATGTTTTAGACTATTGACAATATATTTACTCTTCAAGCACTCTGTAACAAATACTTATCCAGATCGAACGATCATTTCGACTGCACCTTTATAGACTTAATAAAAGCCTTCCATTTTGTTCCAAGAAAAAAACTTTTGTACCTGTTATTGCTAAAAGGGTGCCATGGGAAAGTATACAATCTCCTCAATTATATGTACGGCTCTGTGAAATCATGTGTAAAATTTAATAATGAAAAGACACCATTATTTACAACAAACACAGGCGTTCGACAGGGATGTATTCTGAGTAGGGCTGGATATTGCCCTGAATTTCACATTGCGATATATTGGAATAATTTAAGAGATATTGCAATATATATTGTGATATATTGATGGAAGGTTTCTGTCCAAGTGCGTACATCATAAATTCATAATAGCTCTCTGCGTGCGACATCATCTTCTCCGTTGCTGTTACACCATACTTTCAGGCTCCCCGTCCCCATTGTGTATGGCTGTATGCCAATCGTTTACAGATAAATATAATAATATAGAGCCTTAATGTGGAATATGTTGCACCAACGTTTTGCGAATATAATGATAAAGGTAATAGTATAACATGATTTTCATAGTCAGTGTTGTTTGCTTAAACAGAATGTGCTTCAGTGCAGTATGTAATTATTGTTACTGTATGTGATTCATTCAGATTCAGTGTGTTAACATGAACTTTTCCCAAATGAAACAAAAACAAGATTGAGTTGAACTACTTGAGATTTAAATCGCATGTGACCTTGCCGTGACTGGAACGTCATTATACAGTCCTACATTTTATCTAAGACTCAGACCTGTATGATAAATTGATACCATATGCCCCATTATGAAACAAACAAAAATAACAAAATCCTGTGAACTGTGAAATGGTCACTCAGAGCCAGAGGCTCTACTAATAAGTCTAAATAAGAATTGGTCCATTTGAGGCCACTTAATTCCTCCAAATGAAACCATTCAAACCCACAAAGAGTCAAGTATTTGGTAGACTATTTGGCAATTTTGGAGCCACTTATAATGACACTTCCACTTGTAAAATGTTACATGAAACCAACAGAAATAAAAATATATTTGGCACTTTTAGAGCACATTTGTTTGCTATGGAAATCAAGGGCAGATAATTCAAATGGAGCTAACTCTGGAAGACCAAATATATTGCAGAATCTGAACCATATCGCGATAATCGTATCGCGAGATACTGTACCGGTATATACCGGTTTACCGGTAATATTGCACAGCCCTAATTCTGAGTCCCTTGTTACTTATTTTCGTCATCAATGAACTTGTGAGTGAAATGTATTATGCGTGTAACCATGGTATTTTCGTCTCACCAGCTATTGAGGATCTGTTACTTCTGTTTGTAGACGATACTGTGACTTTTTCATATACTATAATACATTTACAACGACAACTTGATTGCGTATCAACCTTTTGTAAGAAATGGGGATTGATTTTTATTGATCAAAAAAGTTAATGAACTGATACACTTTCAATTCAAAACAATTTTTCATGTAATAGAGCACACTTGTACTAGTTCAGTGCATGATTTCGACTTGCAGAATCGGACATTTTATTCCTTATTACCTTATTAGTAGCACCCATTAGCTTTTTCTGGAATTTAGCGAAGGGCTGGTTTCCTAGAATCAGTACGAGAGGTGTGCTCAGTAACAGTATCGCGAGTGTTGAGCCCTGAGCGTACATGTTGTACCGTCTTAGCAATCACTAATAGACGCAGGCCCGGCAGTAGCACTAAATAGGCCCATGTTTCCTCCTCCCGTAACTAGTACTTCACATCCAGACCTGGTTAGACATGACAAAAACCTTTGAAATGTCATATACTGGAAATGAGAGGACCGTATTTGCGACGCGAGTACCGTTCTCTAAAAGAAGCAAGTCAACACATAATTAACACATAAACAAAGTCCAAAGCATGCAAGTATGTGTTTAACTTCATCGTGAAGATCCGAGTTAGAATGGGTCTTCAGAAACCCATGCTTGTCGTAAGAAGCAACTAACAGGATCGGGTGGTCAGGCTCGCTGACTTGGTTGGCACATGTCATTGATCCCAATTTCGTAGAACGATGCTCATGCTGTTGATCACTGGATTGTCAGGTCCAGACTCGATTATTTACAGCAATATAGCTGGAATATTGCTGATTGCGGCGTAAAACAACAAACCACATTCATTACCTTAATACAATTACTGCATTCAATTATATACATGTATTATGCATTAGTATATTTTCATTTTCGTTTTGGTGCGTTAATCGTGGTATTATTGATGTACAATTTTCCCCTTTTGAAACACGGTCAATGATGCTTTTTGTGTAATGTCTCAATGTAATTGTAGAGGTATCCATAAATATGTTGTTATTCGCCTTTGATCTTGTCTGTATTCAGATATGACCTATCCACTGAATAAATGTGGCGCAATGTGAATCTGTGTTGAACTCAGTGTAGGCAGTCAACGTCGTGTAGCCCTGGAGGTGCTGGAGCGGTGGGGTAGACTAGTGGTTAACGCGTTCGCTTGTCACGCCGAAGACGAGGGTTCGATTCCCCACAATGTTTGATGTCCATTTCTGGTGTCCCCGCCGTTCTGTTGGAAGAATATTGCTAAAGTGGCTTAAAACAAACTTGTGTGACGTTACTGAGCGCAACATTATAAACAAACATGATATCAATCATGGCGTTGTTCAGTACACACTACAAAATGGTCAACTTTAGCCACCTGACAATATTACAATTTTTTTCCAGCCTGTAAATGATCCAGTCTGGACCAGACAACCCAGTGATTTACATCACGATCGTCGGTTATGTTTTTGGGATACAATGACATGCATCAACCCAGTTAGCGAGATTGACCACTCAAGACTAACATGGATTACAGAAGACCAGTTATGACCCAGATCTTCAAAGGCTACATTTGAGATATTCGACATTGACCAGTGAGACTGCCTGTCGAACCTGTTTATCATTCTGATATTGTAATTTGGGATTTTAACGGTCAACAACTAGTTGAAGCGTCACGTAGAAGATCCGGGTTCATTTCCCCACATGGGTACTATGTGTGAAGCCCAGTTCTGGTGTTCCCCGTCGTTATATTGCTGGAATAGTTAATTGTCTTAAACCTAAACTCGCTCACTCAATGGGAGTCAGTGGAAATAATATTTAGACACGTCTTTTTCTTCAATGCAGGAAGATAAACTATGCACATAACACACATACCTGGCGCACCTGCATGAGGTGAGGTGAGGTGAAATTGGGTTTAACGTCGTGCTTGAGAATATTTCGCTCATATGACGACGTGCATGCGCGTGTATGTGTATGTGCGGCTGCTTGTACTAGCCCAGACTTAAGCTGGTTTTATTGTGCTAGCCCACTGAGATACCATGCCGCAGTGAAGCATGAATACCCCACTCAGGCACATTATACTGACTCCGAGCCGACCAGTCCTTGCTGTACCCATTAATGCCGAGCGCCAGGCAGGGACCAACAAATCCATATTTTAACGTCGTTTGGTATGACGCGGTCGGGGATCGAACCCGCGACCTTCCGCTCTCCGGGCGGACGCTCTAACCACTACACCACGGAGGCAGTCTTTTCCTGAGTGAAGTGAAACGTAAACACACTGTTTAAGATGAAAGTCGATTAGTAATGTACAAATATTTTGTTTTGAAACCCGTTGCTGTCTATCTACATCACTCAAAATGTGTATCAGTTCTTAATACACCTCAAAAATGGGCAATAGCATGAAATAAACGGGATCTTTCCACTTACCCAACTCCTATTGTTTCAGTAGAAGAAACCGGCCGTGATAAATCTCTTTTCGCACACACACACACACACACACACACACACACGTAAGTGGGAATGAGCATTGTATATCAAAATGACGATACGAGTACATACTTTTGGTTGACTGACTGAGTTTGGTTTTACGCTGCTTTTACCAATATTCCAGCAACATCACGGCGGGGGACACCAGAAATGGGCTTCACACATTGTACCCAACTTTTGGTTGAACAACTTCTGTATTTCAGAGGGAGAGACGTTTTAGTAGTCTGTTTCATATCACTGACTTTGATGTCCATTGGGTGATTAAAAAAATAGCTTCTGAAAATTTTGTGTAGTGTTGTAGGCATTTTATGTAAGATGAACGTTTTGAAATCGTTTACTTGTTTACTTCTGGATTAAAAACGGCCAGAAATGATTCAGGATACTTTGCTATAATTATCTAACAACAGTGATTCCCGCCGCCCAGAAGAAACATCGACATGAATAAATCTAATTTTCAGAAACGATCATAACATGTATTTTGGTCAACGTTTTATCCAGTGTGTATTGAAAATTCAACCTTAGGACATCAACTGGAAGCGTTTGTTTATAGGTGAATGTCGACGGTTTATTAATGTTTAGTAAGTTTGGCTCAATACCACTTTTAGTAAGTGAGTATATTTCTACGCAGCGTTAAGCAAAATTCGAGCAATATCACCGCGGGGGCTGGATGGTAGAACCTTGTTTAACGCCGCACTCAGCAATATTCCAGGTATATGGCAGCTGTCTGTAAATAATCTGGAACAGACAATCCAGTTATCAACAGCAGGGGCATCGATCTACGCAATTGCGATAGGATGATATGTGTCAACCAAGTCAGTGAGTCTGACCACCCGATTCTGTTAGTCGCCTCTTACGACAAGCATGGGTTGCTGACCCATTCCAACTCTGATCGTCACGGGTTGAAAACAGAAAGACTTCACACATTGTGGGGATTTTGAACTTAGGTCTTTGACGAGAGACGATGGAACACTTTATCCACCAGGCTACCCTGATGCCACACTGAACAATATAAATGCCAATCGTTGCGTCTACTGCAATAAAGAAATTGTCAATCCACAAAACTTGTTCCTCTTCAACAAGTACATCCTATGACTAGAGACCACACAATAAATTATTCTGTACACAAAGAACTTAGTTTAGCACCCCCTGACATATCTCATAATTGAATGAGCCCCGGTCTCAAACTCTTTGGAGCATATCTGGGACATGGTTGGTCGCTGGAAAGGGATCCTCCTGTACAGAACCTGTCCCAGTTGGAAACTGCTTTACACGATAAATAGGTAGACTGCCCCTTCAGAGGATCAGGAGGCTGACAGGGGTTATGAGGAGGAGAGTGCTGGCTGTCATACAGTCACATGGAGGTTACAACCATGGAGGTCGAATCGTGTAAGACACGCAAAATGACATTTTGAATGTTCGCATTCACCAATTAATTCAACACTAAATATTCCAGGGCCATACTTGTACAGACATGGTTTTCCATGAAAATCACTGGGTTCTTTTTTTAAAATGAGCAATTGTCATCATAGCATCAACATATATTCCAATCATTTTGTCGTTTTGTATTAGTCAAAAGATCATACGGGTCAGAAAAACTCTAATGTTTTTCCATTGTGGTCACCACGAGAAATTTTATGTAGGTGTTGATAACCTATCATTTTAAAAACATAAACAGGGGTGCTTAAGTAAGTTCTTTGTGTATATACATGGGTACAATGTGTGAAGCCCATTTCTGGTGTCCCCCGCCGTGATGTTGCTGGAATATTGCTAAAAGCGGCATAAAACCAAACTCAGTCAGTCAGTCAGTCAGTCTTTGTGTATATTATATGGTCTCTGTTATGACACAGCCGGAACATCCGACATCTGCTCCAGGAAGACATTCTATCCACTATGTCGCGGAGAGGTTGCCTAATAGTACAATGTGTCTACAAATCAACATCCATATCTGTGACCGCCTCCATGGTGTAGTGTTTAGAGCGTCCGCCCGGAGAGCCTCGCCATATATCTGTATTGAGCTGAAGACACCATATTCTATCCTGCGAAAAGCTACTGAAGGGTATGCTGTAAACTTTGCCATTTTGGGCCTGTCCAGGATAAGGGTGGCTAAAAATAACACCAGTACAGGTTGAAGGTAAATGGTTTAATTTAATTACAAGAATAAAAGTGTTTGTGAGCCAAGCTAAACCATTGTCATATGGTACATTTGTTAGAAAAACAGATCTTATTATGTCAGAAAAGCAGAAACCATCATAGCTATCACAGTTAAAGATAAATCAATTGTTGCAAAACAATTAAAGTCATATATAAGCCTAGCTAACATAAACTGTGTCAGCGAAAGCAAGACATAGCAGGAATATCTTTGAAGAATTAGCATCGGTCTGAAAACATCACAACACAAACAGAAAATCATGAACTAACATGTAAAGCTTCAAAACAAGCAGGGACATTTTGTTTTCATTCAAGAGAAATCACAATTCATCATCACATAGAATGCATCTTACTGAGAGCCAGGATTTTCTTTTACATCAGTAAAACATGATAAATCATGGCTACAATTGTCAAGTTTATTTGTTTATTCAAAAGAAAACAAGATCCAATATGTTATCTTTCACAAGATTATGTTTTCTGGGAAGACTTCGAGATCCTCAGTATGATGGCATAAATCTTCACCATCTAACACATTAACATCACAAACGGTCTGAAATACTTCACAGGCCTGTAGACACTAAGTGCGCTAATCACCTATGAATACAGATACATGTTCTGCAGCTATCTTTACCCAAAGAAGCACAAGGAGACAGGTGAATTCCGACACAACATCACGGATCAAGGTTTCAGTAAGACACAAATGAATCGTACAAAGCTTGATTTCATTACTTGACTAAATACAGACATGCATCATTACTACCCATCTAAAACCATCCATCAGTGATGGTTGAATATTGAGTATACAAAACCACAAAGTATTGCTCATGGTCCATCAAACAAAACCGATTTTAACAAGCATAATTACAGTCTCTCCAACCTCGAAACTTCAGGTACTGGTGTGGATGACAAGAGCTTCCATGGTCTGCAGTGACTTCAGTCTCACAGGTAACATATGTAGACAAATGCTGTTCATAATACTATATTTAGGAACAGGATTCAAATAGGAAGGACAAAACATATCATTTTCAGTTGAGATGATTAGAACAATATTACGATTACCCTGTTTAAATCATCAAACATCTTGAATTATCAGAAATTACAAAATGTAATCACAAAACTGCATGCCTGAAGCCTGTTACAATGACAGATGCTTTCAATGACATCTGTAATTGACATTTGGGGACAAGCACATAACCTCTGTACAGTTTTAAACCCAATGACCAGAAGTATAACAGCCCTGCAAAACCAACAGCCGGTGTGTCAGGAAAGCGAAGCAAAAATATCTTCTGGTTGCACCGTTATCATTAGTTATTACACGCCCGCGGAAGATACTGCAGTGGAATACTTTTATGGCAATATTACACCAGTGTAATACCACTAGACATATGACGCCATAATGGTTTACAGTAATGACGTCACAATGCTAATACCTCTGTCACAATGGTATTAGACCATGTTTGACTCGTGGAAAGCTGAGAGTCATCAAACTGTAGGCAGTTTCTATCAATTTATGTTGGAGAGTAATAAACAATACTAAACTCGCTTCTGTGAAATACCATTCTTACTAAACTTGTGAAAGACTTGTTACACTTAGTATCGAACTCACTTTTGCTCCAAATCATTGACTCGTTTAATAAAAATGGAATTACATGGGAGGTCGTTTAGTATCCTCTGTTTATCATACTTACGCATACAGAGCAAGCATTAAATTCATTTCAAAATGATATAAGACAAAGGACTATAGTAGACAATGTAGATGTCTTGTAAACATGTTTCATGCAAAATACTGGAAACTATGTAATATACAGAATACTTTCTTGGTGCAGCTAGAGACTACAGCGTCATGCAGGAATACTGTTATTCCCTGCTTGTACAAGTAGACTACGTTTACACATCAACTTAGGTAGGATTTCTTTTCTGGATTTCTCTTCCTGAACTGAATAGATGAAATATCACCACTAGACTTTGAATAATGCATTAAACCAATGTTGCATTTTTGTGCCAATATTTATGATGAAAGTCATTCTTCACAAAGGAAGATACTTGTATTTAAAAAACTGATTATACCACCGTTGCCTAATATGTCTCTGAAATGACTTAAATAGTAATCACAGCTTGAATGACCAAATTAGAAAAACAACATTGCCAAAGTGGATAAAATCATTCATCATTTCCATAAGAAAAACAACCACTTGTCTGAGCATATAATGTTTCTTTTGCAAACTCATGTTTTCACTCTTTCATGAGTTAAACTTTCATCTGCATCAACATGAATAAATCTAAATGATTTTCACAGGTAAACAGTGAAAACTGTCTCAAAGACTCCAGCCATGTTAACTTAATGTACATGAAAAAAGTTCAGAATTCCATAAAACAAAGAATTTGAAATAACATACAAATTGCACATACTTTAGGGCAATGTAAGGCACGTTATTGTGGAATTCCATAGCATCAACACAAGCAAAATGTTTTTATTTCCACTACAAAATATACATACAATAAACAATGAAAGACCCCTGTACCTCCTAGAGCACCTACAAAAATAACATGAAAATCATAAATGTGGTAAAAGTCTCACTCCAATTTCTGGCAACTATACCATTCAATAGTTGCTAAAGACTGAAGTAAGCACATTTAGTCCTTGTTGTCCTCAGCAAGCAGTGAGTATTACAGTACATTTCTTGGAAGGTCCCCAATATTGCACTTATTTTTGTTTTTTACACTTCAAAGAATAGTGAAATTGGGTGGACAAAATAGAATGAAAAGCATGCCACCCTTCTACTCCACTCTAACACAGGAATGTGTGTCAGTCAACATGTCTCCATCTTCAAGAACAAAAAACGTATTGCCTGCAACCATTGCACATTACCACTAGTCTGTTAGTCAATTGTAGTTATCTTGCAATAGTCCCAGGGATTTATCTAGGCCTGTTTAGACACCAATATTCAGAACAAAGTCTGTAGAAAAATATCAACAAAATACTAGCGGGAATCAAAAAGCCCCATCAATGTGAATCCATTTACAACCAATATATCACCCTGACTTGAAATCAATGTCTAAAGGGCCAAAAGATAGGAATTTAACATCATATTAAAATACAATGTAAAAAGGCCTCTTTAAACATAAAAAGATATTTTGCACAAAATGACATCTTTTACCAGCAGCTTTACCAAAAGCATTTATTTTGGAATACTAGATAAATCCCTGCATCCATATGTTACAACCAGACTTTTCTGAAAATACCTTGTAAAGGTATATTCGAGCAAGATAACGATAGATTTCCAGCACAAACAGATAAAATATCTCAAACAGACACTGGAGGATTAAGCCACAAATGTTCTACATCATAAATCAACTTCAGTTTCAGTTTCAACTTTGGTAAAATGAACATATGAAAGATGTCCAGGGCTGCAATGTTTCACCTTTGGTCAATTCAGGAGATGGCAAGATACCATGCATGACAATATGAAAACTCAAAGTCATGTTAAAGATTGATCTTTCATTATCTCACGGTATGATTAGAAACCATACAAGAGCAAAACAAGTTAATTTGAGTCATCAAAATTAAAGCTTAAGAATGAACTGATGAGACTTCCATAGAATGTCAAAAACGTTTTATACATTATTTATGTTCCTGATATTAAACATTCTCCAATCATTGGATGAACCATTACTGCCCTGAAGATAACCCATTACCATATCAAATATGAACAGTGTTTGAGTATATACATATACAACCTCTCTATAATGTCATACTTTGTCAGGTTCTTGAGCTTCATAACCATGGTTTTGTAATTCACTTCTGAGTGAGTGAGTGAGTATGATTTTATGCCACTTTTAGCAATTCCAGCAATATCATGGCGGGGGACACCAGAAATGGGTTTAACACATTGTACCCTATGGGGAATCGAACCCAGGTCTTTGGCGTGATGAATGAACACTTTAACCGCTAGGCTACCCCACCGCCCTCTATTCACTTTTGAGGGATGCCAATCGAAATTGAAATTGTGGTAACAGCAAGGTTTGTTTCACATCATAAACTGACTGGTTATGAAAGAACCTAGTATAGCATCACAAAAAGGTTACCTTTACATGCAGGTATGATGAGAGAACATACATCACAGGCCACTTGCTTCAGGATACCGATCACATCAAAGTTCATAATCAAACAAAACAATTACATTGAATAATATGATGAAATGCTTTTTCTCAGGATTGACCATCTAGAAATGACTGTAACCTTAAAATTTCCTCCCATCTGTGGTGTAGCAGTTAACTGATGCATTATCACAATATTTAGTTACAGATACAATAGAAAGTCTCATCAGTGGCTGAGTGGGTTAAGTACTAACGTGTCCCTTGTCAAGAGAGTTTAATCCAAATAAAACATGTTACATCAGACCAGACTCAAAGGGCAGTTGTCATTTTAAGTATTTCAGCCCTTGTATCTTCTATTGTAAAAATACATAGGCCAGTCATTCAGCTCCAATAGCCCTTAGTACAAATATGAACATACCTAGGCCATACTAGCAGCCCTTATACCTTGCAGTATGAATTTGCCCAGACCATTCCTGTAGCTTCTATACCTTTTAATATGTAATTCCCTAGGCCATCCCCGTAGCTCCTATACCTCTTAGTATGAAATTCCCTAGGCCATTCCTGAACCTCCTATTGCCTCTAAATATGAAATTCCGGGACCATTCCTGCAGCTCTTATACCTCTTAGTATGAAATTCCCTAGGCCATTCCTGCAGCTCCTATACCCCCTAGTATGAAAACACTTATGTCAGTATGTCTTGAACACACCCTGGCTTCATGAATTCCCCTATCCACTGTATTGCAACTGTTGTATTATGATAAGCATCAGTTCCCTGTTTGGTCATGTGTTGGTCTCTCAGTCAAGGCGTTTACACACCCCCACCAAGCGATTACAGTTAGGACAGGTGTGGTGAACATCTTGCAGATCGTTGATACAGAAGGGAATAAGGCAGCACCCCAGCCAGCACCTGCAAAGTTAACACCAACTTAATAACTGCCAACCAAAACATTGTGCAAAAAAACCAACCAAAAGCCCTGGTGCAGAGTATGGCAGAGTTTTTCAAAGTAAGGCTCCACAGTATCTTTTGACCAGTTATCTTTGGCAGGTAAAAACATAAAATAAATATATATTCCATGTTGTCCAGTTCAATATATTTTTAATTTGGCTTAAAATTGCTTGCTTCCTTTGGTTAAGCAGGACAAATTGGCTCGTGCTGCAAAAAACTTCTTCGATGTATTTTACAGTAAATGTAAATTCCAAGGAACAAAATTAAAAAAACTTTTCAACAGTGTTCAAAGAAGAATCCCAAATTCCAAAGGACCTTTTTTCTGCAGACTCTAAATTCAAAGGCACATAATAAACATTTATTGCCTTTTCAAGATTTTCAAGGCCCTGCAAAACGCTGAAACTATATTTACCTATTTTCCAATTTTTGGTTTATAGGTATTTCAACCAATTATGAAAACAGAAGAATGAAAACACTGTTATGAGCAGTATTATCATGATTATGAATAAAGTGTGGCCTTACTTTGATATTCAACGTAACATGCTTAGCTGAATATGTCAAAATGATTGGTCTCAGACAAACATCTCCAAAGACATCCCCCATTCCCAGTGGTCTCTGAATATATTCAGTATCTAATTACACATGACAAGTTAGTAAGTGATAAAATACTTGAAACTACTGTCCATGCTAAAAGAGCAGCCTTTGGTCACTGACTCATGAAAACAACTATAATACTTGTCTTAACCGTGAGTGAGCGAGTGAGTGAGTTTAGTTTACGCCACTTTTAACAATATTCCAGCAATATCACAGTGGGGGACACCAGAAATGGGCTTTACACATTGTACCCATGTGGGGAATCGAACCCATGTCTTCACATGACAAGTAAACGCTTTAACCACTAGGCTTCCCCACTACTCTACTTGTCTCAAACGCCCCCCAAAACACAACAATATACATAAATCTAAATGAAGTATATCAAGTGCTTGGGTAGTTATCCTTATAGAGAAGTAGTTGTGTGAAAACAAAGAGAAATAGAGCAATGATGCTGAGCGCTTGCATCGACCATGATCAACAGTTCACGAAATCATAACCATGTGATATTTAAGATTTTGATTAAAAATTAAATATATATTTCAGAACATTTTCAATGTTGTTCTGAGTCAATGACCAAGAATTTACTGACCCATCCTAAACCCATAATACTGAAGTAAATATATAACATATGCAACATATATTTATTGCACCCTCATTCACATGCATATTTCATACACCTCCACCACGTTCCCCATGAAACACCAACATGCTCAGCTCAAGACAATGATAGTATGACCACTTCAATAAGACTGCATCACTAAAATGAATACTAACATGGCTAAGCAGTTCACATTTCAAAATGACGGTCAAGATGTTCTTGTCAAAACCTTAGCATCATAAATTCATGATAAATACACCATTGTCAATCATGCAGCACAACAAATTTACAGTCTATACAGGTGATTTCTGTGAAGCACCTGAAGGTATACTGGAATAGACATGATCGAGCTAATTACCTGGGCTATGTTATAACATGGTATATTTTATGAATGCTTCTATAATCTTTACATACTCCTGCAGAGTATCTTAAGATGCAAATATATTCAGGAAATAAGTATTAACATTTGTAACAGCTGAATAAATGATAGACGTCACAAGATACAACAATATTTCTAAATAATAGAATATATAGGTGATTCATGTAAATTAGTCGATCGTGTATCATAACTGGAACCAGAAGGCTAGGATTTAGATATGGATGTCCTCCATTGTGTACAGGGCTACGAGGCCCTATAGAACGTCCCAAGATGAACGAAACACAGGGGACAGTAGTGGGCGACATTCTGACACTCTCCAATACAGAAAGGGAGCGGAACACACGGCCAGCAGCTGCAAGAACATGCAGTTACAGTGGTTACAGCAGTGAATGAGTGAGTTTAGTTTTTGACCGCACTCAGCAATATTCCAGCTATATGGTGGCAGTCTGTGAATAAACGAGTCTTGACCAGACAATCCAGTGATCAACAGCATAAGCATCAATCTACTCATATTGGGAACCGATGATGTGTCAACCAAGTCAGCGAGCCTGACCACCTGATCCCGTAAGTCGCCTCTAACAACAAGCATGGGTTACTGAAGATCAATTCTAACCCGATTCTTGTATTGTCAACTTAAGTTATCTGTTTAATAACTGAGTTAACATCATTTTGTTATTAAAAAATTCTAACCCCTCCTTCTACTAGGTTGAAAATTTAATCATTTAATCCTTAAATTTACATTACAAATAAAAGAATGGTCATTAAGCTTGAACTGTGTGTCTGTATTGTTTATTTGTGCAGAAGTGCATTCTTTTTAACAGGATTATATCATCTATGAAAAAGTTTATGCGCTTCATATACTTGTTCAACTGTTTTGTTCTTTTGAGCCTCTGGCCACGGCAAAACACCTCATATATAGAAGGAACACTTCTGATATGAATATAAATAACTGGCATTGTGAACATATTAACATGATACTGTACCGTACACATATTTGGCATCAGACTGACCAAATAACTTCATGACAAATGTAAAAACTTTGAGCTATATCATTTTCGCATTTATCTTGATTTGACTTCGCAAAGCAGATTTGCTTGCAATTTGTTTGCTTGAGTCAGCGATTATCGACAGGCTCGGGAAACTATTCGATATTCATGAAAACTGGAACATCAAATCAAACTTCAGAAAGTACCGGTATGTTTGTTATTGATATGTTTGTTAAATCAAAATATAAACAACTAATGCAGTTTTCTTACTCGTAAAACTGCAAAATAAATATCATACTCGCATGCATGTCTCAACTAACTTGATCGTAGTATTAATCAGTGCCTGTTTCGTTAGCACAATGGTGGTGATATTTATGATTACAATCAATTATTGTTTACTGAGCTCCAGTTATTGATCTGCATATTGTGAGCAATAATTAGCTCAAGGGTTGACCTAAACAAATTCACCCCACCATGGCATGTACAGCCCTATAGTTTGATTGGTTTGCCAGCAGAATCAAGCTTACATCAACTTTGTTGATCTCCACAGCAACAAAGAGGCTTCTTAGGGGATAACTGTACTGTGTTTGACGAATTGGGGACGTATACCGGTGGTTATATAGCCGCAAATTTAGTTATATCGGCGACGCGTAAGCTATCAGACACGGTAGATGAGAGATTAAGGGACAGATTTAAGCTATCAGGCACGGTAGACAACAGATTTAGGGACAGATTTAAGGTACCGTACATGGTAGATGACAGATTTAGGGACAGATTTAAGCTATCAGACATGGTAGATGGCAGATTTAGGGAGAGATTTCAGCTATCAGGCATGGTAGATGACAGCTGTAATATGACTTTGAAGAAGTTATAAATGATATACTTATAAGATTGAGGTCAGAAAACAAGGTAGATAAGGTGGTACTTGTGACGTGTAGTCAAGATTTCAGACACTACCAACTGACGAGTGCCCTTCATCAGTAGCAGTATCATTAGGACTATAGGGAGACTCATTGTGATCCTACTTCCTGTGCTACCTACCCAAACAAACAGATGAGTCCTGCCGCCAGCCAGGTGAGTCCGCCGGCCTGGTAGTCCGTGTTGGTCATGACATGGGCCATGCAGTGAGGGCACTGCAGCTGCTGGGAGTGGGGCCCAAATTGTGTCGTCACCAATATGACTGAAGGTGGAGTTGTTTGATATCCACCTGCTTGTAAAAGAGATGCAACATAAGCTCTCTCTGAGTGTGAGTGAGTGAGTGAGTGAGTGAGTGAGTGAGTGAGTGAGTGAGTGAGTGAGTGAGTGAGTGAGTGAGTGAGTGAGTGAGTGAGTGAGTGAGTGAGTGAGTGAGTGAGTGAGTGAGTGAGTGAGTGAGTGAGTGAGTGAGTGAGTGATCAATGTCAAGTCCTTGATTCATCATTTGGTGTTAGGCAGATACCATGGTTACATGAACACCAAATTTGTCAAACATCTGCAGATATGTCAAGCTTTGTGTTGAAAACTAAAATCATGCATTGACATGATGAAGAAGGTGCCATTACACTGGCAGACGATGTCTGTTTACCACTGCATTTGAGCTTATACAGGTCAACAGACAATTTCTTTCAAACATTATCTTTAATCTGACACTTCAGAAAAAATACACAATCATGACTAAGGACCATTGTACTGATCATTCTGCTGATTGTGTTGACAACCTGACACTTTCGTATAATGCATCCAGATTATATAGATATATAGGCAAGGGACTGTTAAGTTGTTAACAATGGTTAAAATATTCAGTCGTAGATTTCCATTGTCTCACTACTAGTGGTGTAACGATTCATCAATAGTATCGATGTTTGCATCGTCAACTACGCGATACGAGTGCATCGATACAAAACACGTTTAGGCAATATATTAGGATATTTATATCGCGAGGGTCCATGATACATCGATGTATCGCCACAAGAGAAGATATATCCCGATACAACTTAAATATTACTTAAAGTTGTAGGGAGTATTGCATAAGTAATAGGAAGGGAGTCTCTTTGAAATTTTTCTGAATTTTAAAAACAAACTGAACCTAAAAGGAATTTGTTTGTGTCTGCCATCTTTGTTACATGAACAAAGGAGTTAGTGTATCAGTGAAAGAATGTGAACAATCTCTGTGAACCATTTATTAACAACTATGAACGATGTCTTAGCTTTGTTAAGAAAGAGAAGATAAAATTTAGAAAGCATACTTATGAGTTTTTTGCAGTGATTCTGGTATAAATTACTGTATAAATTGCCTGTGCAAGCATTGGTGCAGAAACACAACTTTCCAAGGGAAACCTAGAGCAAGGTGTACTGAATATGTTTGATTGTACTTTCTTAAACATTAAATGCTGAAACTTTATTACATGAACAGCCTTTTAAGTGTGTGTGAATGTAACACATGTTCTGCTGAATAACAAATAAAGATTCAGTCATTTTATCTATCATATATGTCCTGTTTTTAGGATTGTAAAGTATCGGGATAAGTATCGTATCGCCATCACTGTATCGTGATGATAATCGTCTCGCAGGTTCCTTGCCAATACTTTCATGATATATCGTCTCGCCTCATTAAACTTGTATCGGGATATATCGTCTCGCCACTTAGGCCACGATACACAGCTCTACTCACTACTAGGGCTGGGACGATTCACCGATACATCGCGATACATTTAAGTTTGATACAGCTATTGTATCGTCGACTGGTGTATCGATACAAAATGATACACGACTTTTTTTTCAAAACAGTATTATCTTAAACATGATAAAGTACATATTTAGAGAAAAATATGCAAGTATGATACAGTTACTTGCTTATTTATTACAATAGTGTTATTGTTATACACAAATACCTTGAAATATATCATCTTAAATCTTAATACTGTGTCATTCTTTCAAAGTGTATACGTATAGTATCGCAGGTAAAATATCGCGATATGTATCGTATCGTGACATACTGTATCGTCCCAGCCCTACTTACTACTAATTCATGCAATGACCAAATACTTTTGAAGGTCTTCAGTTTAAGACACTGGTTGACAACGCCCTTTATAATCATGATAATATTTGGTATATTTTCTTTACAAACTCAGAATTTGATAACAACATGACACTGCTTACCTTGTCCTGCGTATCCTCCTTGAGGTGGGTATCCACCCTGGTATGTCGCTGGGTATTCCCCCTTAGGAGGTTCATATTTGGGGGGTGGTTCATTGGGGACAGTGGCCCCTGCATTCTCTTGTGGCTGGGTGTACGGGGGTGGAGCATTAGGCAGGATTGGATCTCGGTCTTCTGGCCTTGACATTGGGATGGTCAATTAGACTGAAAATAAAAAAGTATTGTTAGTACTTACGTAATTCAAAGTACAAATGTTCAAACTAGTAATCAGATGCCAGACAGTCATTCAGTGTTTATTATCAAAGGCATTGATGGACTGAGGCTATATGAAGTTATAGACTATAGGAAGAAAATATTTGATGTATACATAAGCAGTCTAGTGATTGACATCATGAGCATCATCTGAGTCACTGAGGTGAGGTGAAATTGGGTTTAACGTCGTGCTTGAGAATATTTCGCTCATATGACGACGTGCATGCGTGTGTATGTATATGTACGGCTGCTTGTACTAGCCCAGACTTAAGCTGGTTTTATAGTGCTAGCCCACTGAGATACCATGCCGCAGTGAAGCATGAATACCCCACTTAGACACATTATACTGACTCCGAGCCGACCAGTCCTTGTTGTACCCATTAATGCCGAGCGCCAGGCAGGGACCAACAAGTACCATATTTCAACGTCTTTTGGTATGACGCGGTCGGGGATCGAACCCACGACCTTCCGCTCTCTCCGGGCGGATGCTCTAACCACTACACCACAGAGGCGGTCCCTGAGTCACTGAGCCCATGTTCTGTCATTATAGGTTCTAACCTTGAATTCCATTGCTTCATAACATGTCATTCAAATTTTGTAATCAAATATGCCAGTATGTTCAACCATATTTTTAATATCAAAATAAAATATCGCCACCATCTTCACAGATCCCTCACATAGAGCAATATGCATGGATGTGTGTGTGGCTGTCTGTCTTTGTCCATGTTTTATAATGTTAGGGCACTTAAAAACCATGTCACAGTTTAACATGTACACCAAAATTCTTCCAACTGCCTAATCAAAACAGAGAATGAACGAGTACTTGATATAATCAGATATCTGCTTTCTAAACAATTCAACTTCATCTCTCCACCTCTTTGATTCAGAAATTTTCATCAAAGCAAATGATTAAATGCTTCATCCATATCAAAACATTATATGGTGTTCACTGGTCGTGAGGGGAACATGGGTTGATGTACCCTCGATGTTTGTTTATGTTTCCTGAGCCCGAAGGGACCAGTGAACAACATATTTATCTTACCGAACACCTTAATGTCAACTGTTTGAAGCACGGGTATTGGATCATAATAAGGAGTACCGGAGTTAGGCAACAGCCCAAACACTACTAACACAAAGTACCAAACGAATTCCCACAGTTCAGCATTTCCATAGGGTAACATAGAAAATGTTACTCGCGTGTAAGAGGGGTACATTGATTGTCTCAGCCAATCAGAAAACAACATTTATGTGTGCAGTATAATGCTCTTTGCGATAAACAGGTTGTTGTCCATATAGTGGAATGCTTTTTTAGTGCAAAAGTACACAGTACATATATACCACCATACAAGCCGTCTTGCTCAGAAACAACAGTATCTTAAATTTTCCCCCAAAATAAAGCAGCATGGACTTTTTGTTTCAATATTCCTGTCTGAATGCTTTGCTAGTATCAAGAATTTTGAAACCTCAGTTTAGAAGCCTCAAACTTACTACCTGTACAGAAAGTCCACCTGGCGTCACCTATGAAGAATGTCATCAGATCTCTATGCAGAGAGGTGTTGAATCAGAATACATTATCAAGACAACTTTTCAGCCCTTCATGGCCTTAACATCTCATAGCCTGTATTATTAGGAACAAAACATGCAGAATTGAGACTGAACATGTCAAGCTGTGTCGTTTCAGTCTCTTCCATCAAGATCATAGTCATCCTGATACATTACAAGTACACAACAGTGGAAACATTTCAGTATGAAAGCTGTTACAGCCGCGCATATAATCAATATACTCATTATCAGAACTTTTTGTGCCTTACCATATTTATACTTGTGACATTTATGTAGCAAAATTGGAACTTTTAATTCTGCATGATCAATATCGCCTCTGTAATAATGCCAGATATGAACTGAATACTGGCCAAGCAATAACAAAAGGACATTAAAACAACTTGTTAAACACTAAACGCTTACTGGTGTAGCTAGCTTCAAAACACTGCTAGCATGCGCCATGGTACATAAATTGCCTATATCCTGATATGTTGTTTATATTGTGGGGATGGTCTTTCTCCTAAGGCGTAATATCAATTAAGCATCTGGGGTCTGCCTGTATCTGGTGTCGGTTGGTTGTCTGGTTGGTTTGTTGTTTAACGCCGCACTCAGCAATATTCCAGCTATATGGCGACGGTCTGTATATGATCAAGTCTGGACCAGACAATGCACTGATCAACAGCAGGAGCATCGATCTGCGTAATGGGCCAGATACGATGACATGTGTCAACCAAGTCAGCGAGTCTGACCACCCGATCCCGTTAGTCACCTCTTACAACAAGCATAGGTTACTGAAGATCAATTCTAACCCGGAGTTTACAGGTTTGTTGATATGAAAATAGTGTCAATAATATTGTGCATAAATGTTTGTGATAGAATAAAGTTTTAATTTACTCAATCAATACACAAAGTTGCTTTTTATTCATGGGCTGTTTCTAAATTATGTTCAAGATGCTGTTTTGTTAGTAATCCATGTATAAATATTTCACCACTCACTAGCGGTTTGAAATATACTAGTATTCATTTCTTCAGGACATTCTTTGGCAATTTTGCTGAAAGTTACTTCTACGTTATTTATTGATAATCAATCGATATTTAGTTAATAATTATCGATCTAATTAATCTATACCAATAGCCACCCCTAAATACAGCGCAGCATCAACAACAATAATAATAATGTAATAATAATAAATTTAATTATATTGTGCATTAATCCATGCACATTGCATGCTCAAAGCGCTGACATATTACCCCTGGTCAACCAGTACAGAACACTCCCTGTGGAGAATACAACCGGTCGCCTGTCAGGCGCTCAAGGTTCAAATTCAGACTACCATCGTATCATACCAGGTACCCAGTTTACTGCTGGGTGGACAGAGGCAATTTTGAACAAACTCACTTGCCTAAGGTGAGACCACATGTATCACATGTGCTTCGTTGTGGGGTAGGACTGAAGTCCTAGAAACTCTCAGGAACTAGTCGCCTCTTACAACAAGCATGGGTTACTGAAGATCAATTCTAACCCAGATCTTCATGGGTTGGAGGAAAAGTCTACGGTATTTTAAGACCTATGACTACTATATTTACAAAATGTGAAGGCTCAGTTCCGATTGAGCCATTTGTGACATTCAACAAATGAAAAGCGAATTTGGATGCATAAGTCAGAAAAGGTCAATTACGAATAATAACTTGAACAGCTGGAAGTGTGCAAAAAACATATTTTTGAGACAGTTAATATGCCCAATAATTAGATGAAGTAAATCATCTACATGAGTACGCCCGATGTCTGAGTATAACTATTAAGCACCAACCAACAAATTATTTTAAGAATCCTGCGAGGCTGCTGCCTCGGCCAAACACCGATGATAACAATGCTAGACTGATCACAAGCTGTCATCGCCATGATTACAAACACAGCATAAAAACATTCACAATAATGGAAATGCATTTTCAACATGGTGCCTATCCTTAGTATTTGTGGCAAAATCAATAGCCAACACCATCAACATGATCAGATCATGATGAGCATGACGCAGCTGAAGAGTGAATTGGATGCAACAAGACCTTGTCCCAGCACAGCATTCAGTATGTTCAGAATGGACCTGGTACAAACCAATACATGGATGGATGTATTGTGAGCTCCAAATGCAAACATTCAGCTTGTAATTGTATATATGATTCACCTAGGAATATATCATCTGCTTAATAACTATAAACCGTTAGAAAATAGCGTTTAATAAGATCACATGGATGGGTTTATTATTAGCATCATATTTGAATAGGGGTGCCACTAGCACTGTGAAATGTGTCCTCTATGGTGGACAATCTAATTTAGACAAGACACGACACTCTGTCTCAATGGATCATATATAAGGATTAAACTGATAACAGTCTCTGTATGAAATAAGCCAAAAACCCAGCCAGACATCAGGGCTGGCAACTTCAAAATGGTACCAGCCCAAAATGGATTTAACCAGACCAGGCACCAAGATATGGTGAATTTACTCATATGTATGGAACATCTAAAAAATTACCAGACCACTGGGCAGGCAAGCTGTAAATTCAGACCATCCGTCAGAAATCTGGCCTGTCTCAGGTGGTCGGACAGGCCTTATTTCATACACTGGTAAAATATAACTTTATCTTATACACGGGCATGTTCCTAGATACAGTACTTTCTACATGTCCAAAGGAAGCTTAAAAAAAGCTTGTACAGGTGGTACAAGTTATATGTGTCACAAAAGGTTTCAGACTACAAATTTGAATATGGCACTTAGCATCTTTTACATTAGATTTAGTGATATTAGGACTATTATCAGCTGAACTTACTGGTCAAACTAACATTAGCTACACTAGACTAGTGACAAAAGTCATATATGACATGTGTGCTTAAGCTCAGTTTTGTTTTTTTCAGGTATTTTGACTAGGATAGTATGGTATGACCACTATACCATGGATATAACACAATTTTCAAACAATACTTTCTCTGTTTCAGTGAATTGGTTACGAAATATGTAGAAATAACTAGTTTCAGTTCCCTTTTTCTTATCTGACCTAAAATCTGCACTGAAATTCATTCGCAAATGATTTTCCCCTTTGATGTTGTTCCACAAAGCTGCCGAAATAAAGAAATAATTTTTCTCTGAAGTGACTTACCCAGTATCCATGACTACAAGACAGTGGTGACTGGCCATGCTGAAGGACATTTACTTTGATGTGTAGATAGAGAATACTACACGAGGTCTCATAACATAAGAATTATACGAAACGAGTGTCCTTCCTATGGTATCAGACCGAGCAAAAGCGAGGTCAGAAACCATAGGAAGGTTACGAGTTTTGTATAATTTGTATGTTATGAGACCGAGTGTGGTATTTTATTTATTACCCACGTCTTACATGCTTTAAAGTGAAAAAATAGTGTATTTTTGTTATTTTTATGGTTTCAAACCGAAATAGGTTTCATAAAGAGGTTGCGGAAGAATGTTGTTCTGTAGTACACTTTTTGCATGACGTCACACTGTAATGACGTCACTACGCCTTGCTCGTCTGACCCATTGGTAACCGATGTCACGATGCATGTACAGCCTCCTACATTAAATTACTCCGTAGCACCCTGTTTCTTAGTTTGCAGTTGCTTCACTCGGCTAACATCACTGGTGGAAACTTTGCGTTTATGTTTTTCGGCGCATATACTGTCTCAGTTCGACTCACAATTAAACGGCGATACACAATGTTTACATTCCCACAATGCATATAAGTTGAAGAATGAATGAATTCACGTGTTTGTTATGAATGAACAAATAGTTCCATCACCACGTGACCTAACTGAGAGGTCATCAGTTATCCCATCAAATCGTTACAATCTCAGGTCAAGTCGTTATGACACAGGTCAACGCGATACGACACTTGTGTGACGTAGGAGATTAGTAAGCAACTACCCATACGTTGACCACATGGGTAATAAAAAAATGATCATCTGGTACAAATACTGTCAAACACTTTTGCTCTCAATATATTGCAAACTGTACCACATGGTATATCCACACCTTATCACGTGACAACATATAGTATGGATTTACAACTTCTTTAATATTTACATCACGACATTTCTGGGCTACTTCTTGCCCCTTCATCAGGTGAATGACAGAATATGATTACGAGCATTTGTGTTGCCAAGCTCGGCCATAGTGTATTGTAGTTGTAACAATATACTTGTATAAATCTCAAGTGCAGCATCTGTACTTGAAAAATAGTGGGTGAGTGGTTTTAAGCTGCTTTTAGCAATATTCTAGCAATATCACAGCAGGGGACACTAGGAATGGGCGTATCTTAAGAGAAGAAGTGTAAAAGGAAGCATGACAAGTCAACATGACATCAGCAATGACAGTGTGAGGTCATCACATGGATTGTGCTTGAGACACATGACATGGCATGTATGACATTTTCAGGATTTTAGCAACTTTAGGTCATGTGGATCGGACATTCTTCCATAGCATTAAAAAAACTGAGAATCATGTAAAAAATATGTCAACTCCCCTTTTATTAAATTAGTAGGTCTACTTCAATAATGCAGTTGGCCTATAACATCATGATTACCGGTATTAGTATTATGTTTGTTGTAACATGTGCTCCATGATCACTTTATTCAGTGATACTATACATAAATCTATAAATGACCAAGATATTTTATGGATTTATGCTTCTTTATTCTTTCCCACACAAATACATATATATATCTATCTATATAGTCAGATAGTAGAACAGATTCATGACAGTAAGAAGATAACACTCATCATCTGTAATCTAGATCATTTTTTACCTGTTCACATTGTAATTGGTATAGTAACATATGAATACAGTAACTTTTTAAAAGTTCGTAGGAGCAAACTACCAGTTCTTAATTATTGTACATTTGAAATTACCATACTTCCACAACAGATTTAGATATGGTGATTAGTTTGATTCATCAGCTTTTCGAAAACATTAAACAATTTATGTCAGCTGATTGTAAGGATAAGCATGACTGATCTGTGAGTATCCACCGAACATGATCAGACTGGTAAAAACGAAAAAATGTCAACAGTGCAGTTTTACAGATGAGGCTAATTTGTTCACATAGCCAACTCTGGATCTCACTCCAGAGATCTCAAGTGCCCCATAAAGTTAGGGTATGTTACATCCATCTTTATCCCCTCTCTAATCGAACACTCCTTCACAACACCACTTGTAGATGAAATACTAGTACCCCATATATCCTAAGGGTTAGTTTTAGGGTATTGTATGGGTTAACTAACTCTTTTATTTTATACATCCAGGACAATTTTGTGCTGAAAGTTTGTTAAATGACCATTGAAACTCGGGTGAAAATGAAATGTGCACCCCTCCTTTTCTCAACAGTGTGCAAAAAACAACAACCCCCCACTCCCCCCCACTCCTTTCTCAAATAGCTGTATCCGCCCCTGAACAGTCAGGTGGTGATGACTTGATAATTGTGGCAATTAATCATTTGTGACACCGCCCATGGCAGGGTGTTGCCAATTAGATTAATTATTAGATAAGCTCAGTTTCAAGGTGGCAAAGTGAGTTTGATCCTCCACACTGCACTGAGTGAACCCTGAAAAATGTGCCCAGTAAAATGAACACTCTAGATCTCAAGCATAAACATTTCTTGAAATTAAAATGAGAATCAAACCTGAAGCCTATCACTTAAACATGTTGAAGATGCCGAACTCCTCATCCTATAAAGCGACAGCTATCGTTTGCTTATCTACACAAGAAATATTGCAGAGTGCGGCGTAAAGCTAAACTCACTCACTCACTCACAACACAAGAAAACACCGATCATCAGAGACTGACCATGGTTCAAACTCATCTGAAACTGTCTAGGCCTACATAATACATACGTCGCATGAAAAGCAAAACATATACACATCCCTAATTACCAGAGAGGCAACAGACCCACTTTCACTGACTCAGCATCACAAAATCACCACATCAGCAGCAGAGAGAGATAGCGGCATTGATCGTGTTGATCTGATGGTCACTGACATTTGAACAAACGTTCAAATTAAACACAAATCCTGTACAATCTATTTGTTCTTGTCTTTTTCATAAAACGAAAGAAATCTTTTATCCAAAACAAAGAAGAAAGTTACCTGAGAAATGTGTACTTCTTGATATCAACAAGTGTCAAAATGTGACAACATCCGCCGACTTACTCAATAATACGGTCAAATGATAGTTCTAAAACATCATGTGTTGTTTCAGATGCTAAAACGTTCTTTGACACAATATATATCTAATTATATCTAAACCATTACATATTTCTATCATAAAGGCCAAATTTGGGTATATATTGATGATTACATTAGTCGGTCGATATATTCCTACACCGGAAGTAAATTAGGGGAGGTAATCATATGGTAAAGTCGATCATGTGAGCGGTAGTCGTTGTACTCATATTATTTTTGACTCATAGCGTCGATATCATGAATCAGTGAAGAGGCTAGACATACGTCCATATCAATAACAACGCCATATATTTTACTTACATTCTGCTGCAGGTAGGGATTCTGGTGTAGCCAAGTCCTAATCTATTTCAATGTGGAACTATGGTGTGTCTACACACTTAGTGACTTACTGGACCGCCTTACATACCTTTTTAGTCAAGTATACGATTGTCACGACATGCAGAGCTTAACCATATTCAAATGGAATAAATGAGTTGAACTAGGTGGTATGTGATTGCGCTGTCGATTTAAGAGTTATTGAGGCCGTCGTCTGCCACTGCGATTTGGGCTTATAATCATCAGGCATCTTTAGTCTGTTAGTATCGATATGATTTCTATTATCGAGACACTTTCTTTGTCAGTGCTGTTCAGATGTATTTCTTTATTTATTGTTTTCATTTTGGTCAGTGCTGCAGTTTACAACGTCTTCAGATAACTGATACCTCTTGGTAAACGTTTCTCAATCACTGTCATGCAAATGTTCTTGGGCAGTTTGCATGTATTTCCTCTTACCAAAGATAATGCCATCAGCTTGAAATAGATCCTTAGATTGGCTGAACTGGGTACACCATCAGATTGTATGTTCAATGTTTCATTTCATGACATTTTTGGTTTTGGAGAAATGTCACTGAAGGGTTTGCATTTGTTTTTTCAAATGCTTACATTTCATATTCCAGCATGATTAAAGATATATCGCCATGTTGTGGGTTTTCGGATCCTGAACAACATCCATTGTTTTCTCGATTATTGTATGAACACGTCACTAACTTATTAAGGACATCTATATCGTCAACTCAAGCTATCATACAAATATTTACAAAATCTGTGTGATGCAAAACTGGCTCGTTATCGTGATCATAAACACTGCTCTTCAAAAATGTATGGTGCCTGAAACATATAATCCGATGTAAGAATATATTCAGGGCAATCAGAGGAAACAAATAAGAGTATTACATCAATAGTTATGTTTATGGTTAACATGTTCATCATAAATTATAAGTTGAAATGTTGTTTTTGTTGTAGTGAGACCACATTTCCACAATGTCTGGAGGAAGGTATGGGGCAGTTTCTGGTTACCGGGATGACCCTGGTTTCAGTGACTACAAAGATGACCCAGGAAATAGTGAGTACATGAGAAATAATTCTAAAGCATGTGCAACAGTGTGCAGATAGAACTCAATGAAGAGCCAGTATAACAGGGGACATTAGTTGGATATTAAACTCTTATGCAATCATTTCAAACAAACCATATAACTTTAACATAAGTCATCATCCTCTAACATGTCTGATGAAATAACCTAGGTTAAAGACTTAATTGGAACTTGCAGCTTAGGCTGGTCATAATGATGCATGATCGGGGTAATGGGATTTTCATGGCCTTCTCATATCCTGATAATGGATCCTAGGTTTGGGGCAAATCAAATGTTTGTAAAAATTCCCAGTTTGGAATTTAATTGAATGCTATGTTGAAATACTTGATCATGATGATGTTTATATTTCCCATGTGCCTTCAGCTTCTAGCTAATGTGCTGGGGACATTTGCTTTAAATGTAGAAAAATCCCTATATCAATGCATGGTCTGGTAGTACTGGCATGGTGTTGTTGTGCTAACAGGTTAACCACACTTCTCTCAAAATAAATAATGCATTTCTCTCAATAATACTAGCTATCAGCCCTCAGGGAAGCTACCATATAATTTATTCCAAACAAAATTATGTATTTAGATTACAAATTAAATTAAAAAGTTCAAATGAATTAATGCAACGTTGTATTAAATCAAGTCTCATGCCCTCTACTGACCGAACATAATTTAACCGAACTCCATAGAGTGATGTCCCTTGGAGCGTTCTTTACGATTATAGCCTGCGCACAACTTGTGATTGAAAACCAGTTTGGCAAACACCGACAACACTGCATGTGACAGTTTTTGATGTACAGAGCAATTGTTTATATTCCATATGTGGCAAGTGTTCTCTTTTTGGAAGCTATTCGCCTCAAAGTTTCAGTTATCAATTTCAGGCAAGTTGTAAGGGATAATAAGTCTTTTATTGCATCAATAGAAAGCTAAAGTGAGTGCATATGCTCCAATATGTAAAATATAGGCCAAAATATTATCCAAAATGTGTGATATTGTGCCTTTAATGATGATTTGCTCTAATGCTTATAATCATGATAATGTTTTGAAACATTTGTGTGGACACTTTGAGTATCATGCCTGTGCTGTTTCATATGGGATTTACATTTGTCAGGTAGGAATGTCAAGGATATGTTTGTCTTCCAGGGGGGATTTTCAGCTGATGAAGTCTTTGATCAAATCAGAACTAATGTCTTCAAAATCAACAATGGAGGTAAGTCACAAATTAACGAAAACAATTGTTTTGTTATATCCAAAAAGGTAGAATGTTAGTATGTTACATTGTTTACAATGAGAATATTGCTAACAATATTGCTGTATTTGTACTGGGAAGAATATGAATCTTATAAATGTTATGAGCATGATACTTTTTTCAGGAGTTATGAATAATATGAAAGTTAATTATTTCTTGATTGTTTCTTTCAGCAAATGTTGTTGACCGAGCCATGAAAAGCATAGGGTCAGAAAGAGACAGTGTCCAGCTTAGAGATAAAATGTAAGTGTACTTGAACAAGTGAAGCATTGACTGTCTTTTGTGAAATATTGCTGTGGGAAAATGATCGTCACAGTTTTCAGCTATAAGTTTAATGTGTGTAATGCATTAAGTCTCATTGGTTGTCAAATGATTCAGCATATACTGGGCCACAACTAACCACTTATCATGAGGAGTTCCTTGCTTTGAAAACTTGGTTGTTGGTTTTAGTCCTGGATTTGCCCCCAGTTATGATGTTTATGGGTGTCTGTTGTAGAGCATTGCAAAATGTACAGTCTGCTTCACCTATGGCTTTCCTTGATATAAACTTCTATAGTGCGATTGGCACCTTAATAATAAAAAATTCATGAGTTGTCTCCCTTTTCATGGCATTTTCTCAATTAAATGGTCCAACCTTTTCAAGGTTATCAATGAAGGTGTTGCATATGCCAAGTGTATATTTAAAGCATTAACACAAATTAATATTGATACTTATAAGTGCATTCATCGAACTTAAAATGTTAGTATAGGATACAGTGTTACAGACAGATGCTTCTAGGTGAAATCCAGTCCAGTACAGTACAGTCCAAATACATGAGCATACAATGCTAAATGCTCTCATGATTAATTATTACTGTACCAGGTCTCTTCATTCTTAAAATCTTTCTTCAAAACATTGTTAAACTTCTGTTTGCTGAATCAGTCATTTCCTTCCACTTAAATATGAATATGTCATTTCATGTCATTTCCTCCCAATCTGGGCGTTGGGTAGCCTAGTCTTAAAAGCATTCGCTTGTCACGCCAAAGATCCTGGTTTGATTCCCCACATGGGCACAATGTGTGAAGCCCATTTCTGGTGTCCTCTGCCAGGATTTTGCCGAAATATTGCTAAAAGCGGCGTAAAGCTAAACTCACTCACTCCTCCCAGTCCTGTATTGTCACTTGCTAATAATAAAGCACTCCGAGTCTCTCATCTCTATTCTGTTTACTTTACTTTGGCACCAAAATCTGAATGTTTGTGAATGATGGCGGTGCAACATTTGTACTCGTCAGTTCTACAAACGGGCATTACGATGCTTTAATACCAGTAGTACTTGTCATGGCAGAATAATCAGGAGCCTTGGTATGTCAAGACTATCATTAGAGTGACAACCCGTGAATGTCTGGGTTAGAATATTGGCCTTCAGTAACCCATGCTTGTCGTAAGAGGCGACTAACGGGATCGGGTGGTTAGGCTCACTGACTTGGTTGACACATGTCATCGGTTCCCAATTGCGCTGATCGATGCTCATGCTGTTGATCACTGGATTCTCTGTTCCAGACTCGATTATTTACAGACTGACACCATATAGCTAAAATATTGCTGAGTGCGACGTAAAACTCAGTTCACTCACTCACTCATTAGAGTTACATTAATGCTTAGATACTTTCTTGTAGCCATGAGACATCACAGAGTACACATCAGCTGGTTCAGACGACCATGAGACTGATAAAATCAGCTGGAAGCAAGAGAATAAACAAGGTTAGACAAGATGGACAGTTGAAAGTGCAATTAGTATGATTGTTCAAAAGGCTTACTCTCAATTTGAATTTGAATTCAGGGCATTGGGTGGCCTAGTGGTTAAAGCATTATCTCGTCACACCGAAGGCCAAGGTTCGATTCCCCATATGGGCACAATGTGTGAAGCCCATTCCTGGTTTACCCTGCCGTGATATTGCTGGAATATTGCTAAAAGCGGCCTAAAACCCAACTCACTCATCAATTTGAATTTTGCAGGGGATTTCATCTTTGATGAACTTAATGAACACATGCAAGAAACTCAGAACGAATTGATTGGTCACCGTTTGTCGCATGTTTCTAAGGTGTGAGCATTCAACATATGAATCGTGAAAACCCGGGTTTGATTCCCCACATGGGTACAACGTGTTAAGCCCATTTCTGGTGTTCCCCGCCGTAATATTGCTGGAATATTGCTAACAGCAGCATTAAACCAAACTCAATCACACATTCCCGATTCCTTGAATTTTGGTTTAGAACATAAGGGGAAATTCACGTTGGAAATTAAACAATGTTATGCTTTTGAAACTAATGGTAAAATTTAAACAATGATATGTACACGTTTATGGTTTGCCGAAAATTTAATCACTTTTTTTTACTTTTAGCTATTTTTTGTTATTGCCAACTTCATTGAGATTTTGGGGAAGAATATGTCCTCATTATGTCATGCTTTCTGTAAGACAGTAAAGAGGATTGGACAGACAGATTTGGTTACAGTCATATCATGCCCATATAGTTTTCATGGTTACTCCGAACCCGGGTTAGAATTGCTTGTCGTAAGAGGCGACTTATGGGATCAGGTGGTCAGGCTTGCTGACTTGGTTGACACATGTTATCATATCCCAGTTGTGTAGATCAATGCTCATGCTGTTGATCACTGGATTGTCCAGTCCAGATTCGATTATTTACAGACTAGGTTTGATTCCCCATACATGGGTACAATGTGTGAAGCTTATTTCTGGTGTCCCTCACCATGATATTGCTTGAATATTGCTAAATTTGGCATAAAACCATACCAGACTTTAAGCAGCATTTACTGACTTCACACAATTTGATTCCAGCAACAGAAACTCCAACTTGACCGTCTCAGGAATGACTTCCAGGAAGCAGTGCAAAGATACCAGTCTTTACAGAGGGTAGGTCTGCTAGGGAGTGTGTGTGTGTGTGTGTGTGTGCATGCGTGCATGTGTATGCTGCACGCTGAATGGACGTTTACCAGTCTCTACAGTGGGTAGGTCTTGAAGAGCTTTGGTTTGGCTCAATACTGTAATTAGCTTTGGATGCCGACCAGTTTCTGCTGATGGTAGGCCTGCTAGGAAATGACGGTGTTAGATAGGCTAATATAATTCATACTTTTACTGACTCTTTTCATTGTGTTAGTGCCCATTTGTGGTGTTCCCTGCAGTGATGTTGCTGGAACATTGCTAAAAGCGGCGTAAAACCATACTCACTCACTCATTGTGTTAGTGTTGAAAAAACTATGGGTCAAGTTTTCATATGAGTGTGCTCTGTCTTGCTTGGTGACAACTACTGCAGCCTTTGTAACTTTCCTCAATCTTTTTGTTCATTGTCTGCAACCCATTTCTGGTGTCCCCTGCTGTGATATTGCTGGAATATTGCTAAAAGCGCCATAAAACCAAACTCACTCATTGTCTGTAAGGTATACATTGTGTGTTCTGTAACCAAGCTGTACTTTGGGTTTTCAGAAAGCAGCTGAGAAGGTGAAAACAACTGTGATTATGAGTCCTAAAGGGTCATCGTCGAAGCCATTGGTGGATTTGGCCCCCTATCAGGTGAGTTTTGAAGCTTGCAACAGTGGAGGCACCCTCACTGATTCAGGGTGACAATGGCCCTCTGAATACTACCCTTGTTGTAAAGAGTCTTCAAACTGTTGGGGCAGTGGGGTAGCCTAGTGGTTAAAGCATTCGCTCGTCACGCTGAAGGCCCAGGTTCGACTTCCCACATGGGTACAATGTGTGAAGCCCATTTCTGGTGTCCCCCGCCATGATATTGCTTGGATATTGCTAAAATCGGAGTAAAACCAAACTCACTCACTCAAGCTGTGATTGATTTGACCTGACTATGTGTGTTGTTGTGTAATTGTGTCTTCAGGTTGTTCAGTTATCGACTGATTGGCCTTGTCCAGATTCCTTTATTATTCCCTGCCACATAGTGGGATACAAGATTGGAGTTCCTCAGTCTGTCCATCTGCTTCTCAATGGGGACACTGTTTCCCCGAAACTGTTCAAATGAGAGATATCAAATCTTACACACTGATCATACTGATCACATGGTGAAATATGTATAAGTATTGGTGTAGCAGCTTACAATTCTTCAGAGTTAAGGTCCTTGCTCACTGCTTTTCAACCTAAACCATACTGTGTGAAATGGACGTTTTCTCAGAAAAACATACTGAAGGTACTGATAAGCTACTGACTGAGAGTGTTTAAGAGATCTAAGAGATAGTTCTCCAGACTGAGTGTAAGAATGTGTGTTATAAGTTATATTTAAATTCCCTGGCTATCTTTTTTAGATTTTTGTACATGCTATCATTTCTTCATAGTTACATTGTGTGAAGCCCATTTCTGGTGTCCCCTGCCGTGATGTTACTGGAATATTGCTAAAAGCAGCGTAAAACTAAACTCACTCACTCACTCATAATTACATTAACGTCCATTTATTCTCCACTATACTGAAAAAAACACAAATTCTAATGAGCCTTGAGGTGAGGGATTGTTGAGTGTTAATGGTATCACTATGTGGCTTAAATATTGTTGACTTTCATAAACCATTTACTCAAATTTGTCAAAAATAGATCTGTCAGTGTTTAGAAACCACAAATGCCTATTTGGGCATTTATTGTGCAACTCGTGAAGATACGGGTTAGACTTGATCTTCAGTAACCCATGCTTGTCGTAAGAGGCGACTAATGGGATCGGGTGGTCAGGCTCGCTGACTTGATCCACACTTGTCATTGTATCCCAATTGTGTAGTCTGATGCTCATGCTGTTGATCACTGTATTGTCTGGTCCAGACTTGATTATATACAGACCTCCGCCATATAGCTGGAATATTGCTGAGTGTGGCGTAAAACTAAACTCACTCATTTATTGTGCAAAAGCTTGGTGGTTTAAACAGACTAGGTTTGTTCAGGATGACGGGACGGCGGACACAAGTCAGCTAATACAGGATGACCGACGGGCACAGCTACAGGAACAACAAGTGATCATCGAGGATGACCTTGCCCTCATCAGGGAGCGAGAAGAGAGGATTCGACAGCTTGAGGTAAGTTTTGGCAATTTGTTTCATCTGAGCTAAGGGGCGGTGGGGTAGCATAGTGGTTAAAGCGTTCACTCGTCAAGCCAAAGACCCGGTTTCCATTCCCTACATGGGTACAATTTGTGAAGCCCATTTCTGGTGTCCCCTGCCGTGATATTACTGGAATATTGCTACAAGCAGAGTAAAACCATATTCACACTTACACTCATCTGAGCTAAAGCCAGTTTTTTAGTAGGTGACTGCAATCATTAAGGGAATATATCATTTTCTATAAGAAGCAGAACAATTTGTTTCAGTAAGTAGTTGGTAAGATATCCAGGGAAATGTTGGTTTTGACATTGTTTGGACATTTTTTTATATATTTCAACTATAAAGTATTGTATGATACATCAGTGTCCCCATAGATTGAAACACACTTTGTTATTCTATATAGGTACAGATACAAAATATGTAAACCTGCAATTAATCCCAGATATGAACTAGGCTTATCCATGAAATGTTTAAAATTGATTCCTCTCATTTTCTCATTGAACATCTTAACCATTGTAATTTTAAATAATGGAACATCACTGAGTTACTAGAATTGTCCGCTGTGAGTCATACTCATGTCACCTTGTATTGAGCAAACATTGGCATGATGGGGAGATGGATCTATCTATCTTAGGGTAGACATATGAGACAGAACGATAGACTGACAGTGGGTTTTATCGAGAGATCAACTGTTCATTTCAGTCTGACATCCTTGATGTTAATGAGATTTTCCGAGACCTGGGTGCCATGATACAAGAGCAGGGAGAAACACTAGGTGAGTACAGGAAACATGTTCAGTTGATGCTGGCTGGTTGCTGCACTATGGCTGTCACCATTTTCCTGAAGCAAGGGAGTTAACTCTGACTGTCCAGGTTCTGAACTAGCCAGGAGTTTGGTGGCTCGATCATAGTGTCATCAGTACCTATTACGAGTTGTGTACCTTCAATGATCCTTCTGTTGGCCAGTCAGATTTCACCTATGATATTACTTAAGTTTGGTTCTAACAAAATGGCTAGGTGAACATGAGATATTAATAACCGAGCCAGTTTACACTTGTTGTGACTGAATGGGTTCGATCACTGACTTTCCTTGTCATTGTGTCTCTGATTCAAGAGTGTGGTTTTGAATCCTGTATGGAATTCAACTCCTGAAAGTACAAGAATCTGCAATCCCAAATATAAGATGTTACATTTGACCTCACTTGGAATCACCATTATTTCTCGTCCACTTGTGTCATCAGAAGGTATGTTACTCCCATAGCAACAAATGTTTGAAAGTCAGATATGTTAACATAAAACATGGAGGCTTCCACACTTATGCTTACTGGGGGATTAAAGAGCCTATCTCATGCAGCCTCCCACTGGCAGCCATCTTTATGGCTTGATAGCTTGATAGCTTGGTTATCTTTGTATTCAAACACCAAGTTTTTGTGTAAAACAACCCATGAAGATCCAGGTTAGAACAGCAACCCATGCTTGGCGTATGAGGCTGTTACCAGGATCAGATGGTGAGGCTCACTGACTTTGCAGACATGTGTCATCGTATCCCGATTGTGTAGATCCATGCTCATACTGTTGATCACTGGATTGTCTGGTCCAGACTCGATTACTTACAGATCGCTGCCATATAGTTGCAATATTGCTGAATGTGACATTAAACAACAAGCAAACAAAAATCATTGTGTAAAATGGCTCTTTTCTTAGGTGTCAAGTGGATAGCTGATGCATCATTCTTGAATATCTTGATAGAATTATAGAATGGGGATAGGTTGATTACAGTAGACCTTCTGTTTCTGGGATGGACAACAACCAGTTAATTATCACGCATTTCTATTTTTTTATATTCACTTTCTTTTTCGTACAAAGTCAAAATACAGTGAGTCAGTCGTCCACTTCACAACGTAAAGACATTTCTATTCTTAGAATTTTGATAATGATCTTCCAGATGTACAGAGAATATGAAATAAACTAAATAGATAACAACTTCATTTAAAAAAGCTTATGGTATGAAGACCACAATTGTAGAAGTGATGGTAGACTTCAATTTATCTTCAAGTTGTATTCATCTAAATTATATGACAAATCTCGACATCTTTTTTGTCCCCCGCTGGAACGCGGAACAGGGGACTATGCATTCAGCAGCATCCGTCGTACGTCACGATTCTTGTTAACGCGATATCTCATGAACTGTTGTACCCAATGTCTTCAAATTTCATAGCAGCCTACATTGGGGGATTATGCAGACACCAGTCAATTTGGGTGACCTTGACCTTATTTTCAAGGTCACCATGACACTTTGACCACTTTTCAAACTCTTGTTAATGCGATATCTTGTGCACTGTTGTACCCAATGTTTTCAAATATGGTGACAGCCTACATTGGGAGATTACGTGGACACCAGTCAATTTGTGTGACCTTGACCTTATTTTCAAGGTGGGGGACATTGACATGTTAGTGGCAAACACTTGTTGATATGTGAAATGTTTGGATGTCTATTTGCTATACACACATTTTGTTTATGAAACCATAATAAGTTGTTATTACTGCCAACCATTAGGCTTTAGCCTATGGTAAGGCTGTATCGTCGGTGATATGACATTTTGTATCACATTGTTGGTAACTTCCTTTCCTGTCTTTGTCTTCAGACACAATAGAGGCGAATGTAGAGAAGGCGTATGGTAATGTGGAGACTGGCAATGAGCAGTTGGTGAAGGCATCACAGTATCAGGTAGGTGCTGGTATTACAGTGGTCAATTGTACTTTCAGAAGTAACATGAAAGCAAGGTCTTAGAATAAATGATTTTACTCTGCTTCCAGATTCTAAAATTTAAATTTTTAACTAATCCTGCACTACTTACTTCCTGCACTTATTGCTTACGGCTCGAAAAGCGTGGCTTGCCAGACGATGTCAAAAAGACGTAGAACTGCAATCACTTCCTGGTCTCGGCTGCTTACTCGTCTGCGCATGCGTCACCGGAAGGTGACGTCAGCCACCTCAGATTATTGCTTTTCGCACGCCTCGTTAGACGTGTTGTTTGCCAGCTCAACTTGTATCCTACGGGATTATATTTTGTGAAGCATTAATAAAGACTGACTTTGTGTGTATTTTGTTTTTGTACCCTCACGAGAAGTGTAGGTATTATCTTTCACTTTCTTTTTGTCATTCAGTAGTTCTGTGTAGTGATGTCGTTCGTTTATACACGGTCCGTCATCACACTTTCACTTCGCCATTAAAACACTTTGCCGTATTTGATCGTCGTTGTGTTTCATTTGGTTCAGGCTTATATACTATACCATATAATAGTGGTATATTTATTGTGCCTGTATTATGGTCTCTTAAACTTTCAGTTATTTTGAGACTTTTGTTCTCAACTTTGCTGTTATATTCATTACTTTGTGTAATGCGTTTACTGGGTTTTTCTGCTTCATTGCAGATCTATGTACAGCCAGTTGTATACATTGTCGGGTGGGAAGTCTCGTAAAGACCCTCATCCCCGATGTTTGAAATGTACTACTCAATGTACCCCTGGCCATAAATGTGCCAGCTGCGCTGTGCTATCACCCAAGAGTTTCTCCGTTTATCTCCAGGTTGTTAAGAAGCGCCTGGGACAACAGAGACGGAAGAGTATGTCTACTACGCCGACACCGGTCTTGGCGACCACTACGTCTACGTCAAGTGTTGCGGCGTCAACTGTGTCAACGAAGTGCGCCTGTCACCAGCATTCAGATTATGTCTTCGCCGCTTATGTCACGGGTGTTACAGCGTTTGTATGGCGTAGCGCGCCTTGGTGCTTGCAGCCGCTGCGCTTGGATCGGCGGGCGCCTGGCGCCGGTAGCTTGGCACTCCCTCACCTCCTCCGCTGTTGCCGATGTCATCTCCACAACGACCGATGGGCCAGCAGTTTGCGCCCGTATCAGACACCCCAGCCAGTGTTCGGGGCGAGGCGCCTTATGCGTATCAACCACATCACGGGGTTTCCAATGCCTCAGGCGTCTATGATGCAAAGCGCCATACGGCCACCAGCAGTTTGATGTATCCATGCTCAGCACTCTCTTGACTTTACTATCAGGTCAAGCCGGTACATCAGCGCCTATGCCGTTTATGCCACCAGCTACATCGGCGCTCTCCCCTACGGCCTCGGCCTCGGCCTTTGCCACCTTTGCCACCTCCGGCGATTCCGAGCCTCTGCCTCCTCCAGCATCGGTGCCTATCCTGTCAACTTTGTCTGCTCCTGTGCCCTCACGCCAGCGTCTCCGTTGCGTCCACGTCTTCGGCAGGCGAACATAGGTCGAGACCTCGTAGTAAAGCGTCTTCTGCTAAGGCGTCGTCTGCACGTAGCCGTTCCCCCTTGCCATTTCGTTCACCGTCCTCTGAGAGGGACTTTGCCCCAGACTATGAGGAAGACACGGGCTCTAATCACCTTGGCTTTGATCACGTGTTTGACTGGATTGCTGATCGTTTAATAGCCTCAGTCCCTTCACCAGGCCCTGATGTTGCAAAGTCACTTACTATTTGGGACTCGCCTTCCTTAATGTTACCAGCACATGAGGCGGTCAGAGAGATTCTCTCTACCCTTGATGAAGATTTGGCGGGGATGACTCTCAACCCAACTTTTAAAGCCTAGAGTGCGTCGTGATGACTATCCTATTCATGGCTTGGACTTTGCCCAGACAGTGACTAAGGTGGATGAGGAAATGAAGCGTGTGACAGGTTCTTCCTCTGTGTCCTCCTATAAAGTTCAGGATACAAGGGTCGGCGGCTTTGGACTTAGAGCTTAAGCGTATGCTCCGCCCTATATCGGCATTGGCGTCAGCGACTGATGCCATCACTCAGGATCTTAAGGAAATAAATCCGGATCGACTGGATCATCTCACAACTATGATGCTATGGCAGGGTAAAGTGATCACTGACCTGCGTGAACACCTTAGGTCGGGCTTGCCAGCGGCGTGCGTAATCCGTCGGCAAGGCTTCCTCTCCTTTTCTTCATGGGATTGAATTTCAGCGGAAATTATTCCACCAACCCTGGTCATCGTCGTCACTGTTTAACGATGCCATTCATGATGTTTATCGGCAGGTGTGTGATTTTGCCAAAGGGGAGACTGCCTTGAAAGCGTTTCAAAAGGGACAACGTCCTGCCTCCACGTCATCCAACACCTACCAGCCTCGGCGACCGTCTGTTCGGCGTGCCAGAAACTCAGCGCCGTCTCGTGGCAGGGGACGTGGTGCCAAGCCTAGATCAGACAGGGGTGGATATCAATGTCGCCGTGTTCCCGCCCAGGGCGACGGGCGTAGGGGCAAGTGAAGTGAGGGACACGCACGACTGGACACTCCCACCTCTAGTCGTCCCAGTTTATCCAACACCGGTAGGTGGGAGAATAGGGATCTTTTGGGAAAATCGGTCCATCCTAGAGGATCCATACGTCACCGATATATTGAGGCAGGGGTTTTGGCTCCCCCTCCTCTCCGATCCACCTCTGACAATGTTCCCGCTCCGGCACAATCACTTTCAGGTTCAACACAACCTTCTAGCGGAGAACATAGCGATTTTGTTGGAGAAAAGAGCCATCGAACTCCTCCCGTATCCCATCATAACACCAGGGTTTTATTCTCCAATATTCTTAGTGCCAAAGAAAGGGTCCGCGAAAATGAGGATGATTCACAATCTGTCCTATTTCAACGAGACTTTCCAGGAGCGATCCTCCCGCACTTCGAATGGCGTCCCTCGAATACCTCAAATCTATGGTATGCATCAGCGACTTCCTCATCAGCCTGGACCTACAGGATGCATACCTCGATGTTCCAATCCCCAGCGACAGGAAGTACCTGCGCGCTTTATTTTCAACAATCAACATTTCCAATGGGCTGTCCTCCCATTTGGAATTTCAAGCGGCCCGTGGTTGTTCACCACGTATCACAACTCCTATTTCCGGTATCTGCATTTGAGGGGCATCAATTTCGACCCATTACCTGGACGATTGCCTTATGCACCTGTTAGACCGTCTACTTCTTATACAACAACGGGATTTCACCCTTAGGTCTGTTAAGCCAACTAGGGCGGCTGGTCAACTTGGACAAATCGGAGCTTGTCCCGACTCACACTCTGGCGTTCATCGGAGGCCATTTCCAGGCGGACAAGAACCTAGTTCAGATTCCCTGGACAGGTGGGACAAGATTCAGTCTCTGATTCCCGCGGCGCTCTCCCAACCTCTGTCCCTCAGAGAGTGGTCAGTCACTTCTGGGATTGTTGGCGTCGGCGCAGGATCTTACCAGCAGAGGGCGTCTTCAACCGTCCTCTGCAGCGTTTTCTTCAACCATACATTCGTCGGGCAGGCGTTCATCAACGGTTTTGCCTTCCACCTCAGTTACATCGCTATCTTCTTTGGTGGACTTCGCCCATTGAGCGTCTTAGGAGGAGTCTCTTTGACAGAGCAGCCTCCGGATTGCCAACTGTTAAGTGGACGCCTCCTGCAGGGTTGGAAGCTCACTTACACGACCAGACAGCCTCCGGCCTGTGGTCGGGTCAACACATCAACTGGCATATAAACAGTCTGGAGTTGGAGGCCGTGATCCTCGCTATTCATCATTGGGCACATCGACTACGAGGAACTTGTCTTCTAGTGGCTACAGACAACACCACGGTCGTATGGTACATACGAAGGCAAGGGTCGACACACTCACATCTTCTCCTCGATCAGACCTTTCGGCTCTTTCAACTGGTCGACGATCTCCACATTCTGTTGAGAGTTCGGCATATTCAATATACTATCAGACGCTCTCTCGAGACCCGACAGAGTTGCTCCCACGGAGTGGATGCTACACAAGGAGGCCTTCACTCTTTTAAGTCACGCACTGGGTTCTCCAAACATAGATCTGTTTGCCACCAGCCAAAACCATCAACTGCCAGTGTATGTGTCCCCAGTCCCAGATCCAGCGGCTTGGGCGGTGGATGCTCTCAGCCTATCATGGGAGGGACTTCACGCGTATGCGTTCCCGCCACCAGTTCTATTACCCAAAGTTCTCGCAAAAGTCAAGGAGACAACTTGCTTACGACTAATTTTGGTCGCGTCTTGGTGGCCAGCCAGGAACTGGTTTCCCGTTCTACAAAGTCTAGTGGTAGGAGATCCCTTCCCTCTACCCACGTGGAGGAATGTTCTCGTGCACCCTCACAGCCGTCTTCCGCATCCGGCTCCAGACCGATTCAATCTGCACGCATGGACCATTTGCAGAAAGCACTGAGTGCTAAGGGTTTTTCGGCTAGAGCAGCCAAAGCCATTGCGACGGCGCACAGAACTTCTACTAGACATTTGTATGACGACAAGTGGCAGTCGTTTGAACGTTTTTGTGTTACCAAGAAGCAGGATCCGCTGACTGTGTCTCCTCAGTTCATAGCAGATTTCTTACTTTATCTCCGAACGTCCAGGCGTCTGAAGGGAGGCACCATTGCCACGTATTTGGCGGCAATTAGCTCTGTTTTAGCGATTCCCACTGACAGAAGGATTTCCAAAATCCCAGAATTACAGGCCATGCTTCGCTCATTCCGACTTGAAGACCAGAAGTTGAAGTTTAGATCGCCCGGCATGGAATCTCAACACTGTTTTAGACCATCTCCGTGGTGCACCTTATGAACCTCTTGATAACGCTTCCCTCGCTGATTTATCCAGGAAGGCGGCATTTCTGTTGTCATTAGCGACTGCGGCTAGAGTGAGTGAGGTTCACGCCCTTGACGTGACTAGGATCAAGTTTGAACGTCGTCGTCATGGTTCTGTGCACTTAGATCTGTGTTGGGATTTCATCGCTAAAAACCAACTACCAGGTCAACCTGATCGCCAGTTTTCCATCCGCCATTATCATCTATTGTTGGCTCTGAAGGCGATCGCGGAATTACTGTTATGTCCGATTCGATGCGGCTCAAAACTTACATTGATCGCACCAAAGGCGTTCGTGGTACAAGGAAGCGGTTATTTCTTCCACTGTCCCGGCGCCGCAGTCAGATGTCAGCAAAAACACTATTGCCTTATGGTTAAGAACAACCATTCTTCAGGCGTATAAAGCGGCTGGGCTGGACCCTCCTACGTCCTCTCATCCCCACGAGATTCGAGCACTTGCTTCGACTATGGCACTTCACAGTAATTGCACTGTGTCATCCATTATGCAAGGTTATTTTTGGCGGTCGGACACAGTGTTTGCCAGTCATTACTTGCGTGACATGGCTGTCAGGGACGTTAATGATGATGTCCACAGCTTCGGACCATTGGTGGTTGCTCAGCAACTCGCCATTCCCCGAAGAAAGTGACCCTCCTGCCTTGTGTTTCCTTCCACGGACCACCATGTGGGGAATGAGTTGTTTTTCTTCACAAACAACTAGGTATGTCAGTTAAGAAGTATCCTTGTTTTTCAAGTCCATGCTTTTGCTGCATTCCTTAAGCCGCCAGCTTTAAAATTAGTGGGTTCTTTTCATTTAAGGCGCAGTCTTATTTGCGAATTACCGCTACCTGATCGTCACTTTCGCTAATTAAGCTCTCTGTTATAGGCGCGTTATCAACGCTTCCCGAGAGCGGGATTACGGATTGAGCTGGCTGCTATTACGCGTAGCGTATGATCGCTCAGATGACGCCCACCTTCCAGCCTGTCGGATAAAGTGCAGGAAGTAAGTAGTGCAGGATTAGTTAAAAATTTAGTAAAATCTAAATATTTTTTATATTTGTATACTTATCCTGCACTACTTATGATAAGGCCCACCCTGTGCTATCAGCTACCTCCCCGCTTAGTTTTGCCATCTGTGGGATTTCTAAGCAATAATCTGAGGTGGCTGACGTCACCTTCCGGTGACGCATGCGCAGATGAGTAAGCAGCCGAGACCAGGAAGTGATTGCAGTTCTACGTCTTTTTGACATCGTCTGGCAAGCCACGCTTTTCGAGTCGTAAGCAATAAGTGCAGGAAGTAAGTAGTGCAGGATAAGTATACAAATATAAAAAATATTTAGATTTTACTAAGATTCAACCCTGAGCCTAGAATAGACTTATGCTCCTGTTAGGAGACTCATTATCAGTGAACCATTTTGATTATGGTTTGTGAGATGTCTTTTGTTGAGTTCTGTCCTTTTGCAGTGGAAACATTGGACACCATTGTGTATTTTATTAGATGGTGCGTTTCATATTGAAACATGACCTATGTATCGAGATTCATATTGTATCGTGACCTGTGTGTCAAGATTCATGTTGCACATCTTGTAATACATTTTTTAGTGTGACGTTGCCACATTGTTTCACCCCTATTACATTACAGTGTTCATTCTAAGCTGTGCCCTTGCAATATTCGCGCACAAATATTTAACACGGCGCACTGAACATGTATGGGCAGGTCGTGTTGGTGCATCCATAAATGTAAATCTGAAGCATGTCACCAGTTTGTTTTGCTTGGCAACTCAAGCTAAACTCAAGTACGTCTTTGGTTTCTCTTGTTGATCTTACCTGGATTGCAAGTTTAAAAAGGAAGTGAACTCATACTAGTGACTAGTAGTGTATGGCTAAAACGTCATAGCAATTTGACATGACCCACAATATTTTCTAGATGACCCACATAACTGAGGCTGGTGGGCCATGGGCTCACTATTTAGAAATGCTGGAATGAACACTGACGTTTCTGTAGCTTTATTGTGGCTTACAAACTACTTCATGCTAATTCATTACATTTATTCTCTGTCAGAAATCCTCCCGAAAGAAGATGTGCTGTCTGCTGGTGGTATTCTTAGTGATCGCAATCATTATCACGATCATACTTGTGGTGACTCTAAAGAAGTGATAGCAGCTGCCACCGTATCCATTGGACAAAACTCACTGAAACTGGGTTACATTCCTCGACCATAAGTTCACCTGGATGATAGTGAATTATTCTTGCTAATGCCAAGTTGTGTTTGGGTCATATCTGTGACAAATATACTTCCCAGATGGTGCTCATATAACTGACTATTTGAGATACCAGATGGGGTAAGTTGTGGTTGATTCAGATGGACAAATTGTTAGCTCTAAAATGATTCACCATATGATATTCACTGGGTTGTCTTTCATTACAGAATATATGTATAGTAGGACTGGTTGCACTAAACAAAATGAAATTTTCAGTATTTTGACTGTGGTTTCAAAGCCAGTATAAGGTCAGCAGATTTGTATTTTTTTAAATTCATAAGACAGTGAGTGAGTATGGCTTAGCGCCGCTTTTAGCAATATTCCAACATTATCATGGCAGGGGATACCAGAAATGGGCTTTACACGTTGTACCCATGTGGGGAATCGAACTCGGGCCTTCGGCATGACGAGCGAATGCTTAAACCACTAGGCTACCCCACCGCCCCTCATCAGACAGGGTTTAAAGTGACATGGAAATGTGTGTCCATCATACATAAGTGTATAGAATGGATGCAGTAGCACACAGTAGTGAATACTACCAAATTCTTGAAAAGAAATATAAAGGTATGTAACTGAAGTAAATATCGGGGGCGGTGGGGTGCCCTGATGGTTAAAGCATTCGCTCATCACGCCAAAGACACAGGTTCAATTAACCACCTTGGCAAAATGTGCAAAGCTCATTTCTGGTGTCCCCTGCTGTGATATTGCTGAAATATTGGTAAAAGTGGCGTAAAAGCATGCTCACTCACTTATGCACTGAAGTAAGTACTTTGCACCATGTCATGACTTCACAGGACCCTAGTATTTCCAGTAAGATCCCTTGAGATTAGTTAATTGGAAGTCCTTTGGTTCCTAGTTCTCAAGGTTAAGGGGGTGGTCGGTTAGCCTTGTGGTTGAAGTGTTTGCTCATCACGCCACAGAACCGGATTCGATTGCCCATGTGTGTGTACAATGTTTGAAGCCCATTTCTGGTGTCCCCTGCCATGATATTGCTGGAATATTACTAAAAGCGGCATGAACCTGAACTCACTCACTCAAGGTTAAGGTGAAACCCTGCTAGGTGTCTAGTTAATTCTTTGATGGTTGAATACAGTACCTCAATTGTCGCACAAGTGTACCATTCACATGATTCAAGAGCTAATCAATGAATGACTGCACAAAAAGGATTTTTCAAGAGGAAGGAAAACAATTCAAGATGGCTGGCAATAATGAAAAGAATATTGGATACAACAAATAATATGAATTGTATAAAAATAACAATACAAGATGTACAGGGCACATCTGTGATGTGTCCTATTGTTTTATAGTGTATATATTCAATATCTGTGTTGTTGCTATTTATTCTATGCCATACATGAGACTGCTGTGACCAATCAGTGTTTGAGGAGAGAGGAGGTTTCACTACAAAGGTGTCACTCATTGGCAGTACTTTATGGGTTCATATACTCTACCTTGCTAATGAATATAGGGTCGATGGGGTAGCCTAGTGGTCAAAGCATTCAGTTGTCACACCGAAGACCCAGGTTCAGTTCCCCACATGGGTACAATGTGTGAAGCCTGTTTCTGGTGTTCCCCTGCCATTATATTGCTGGAATATTGCAAAAAGCATATAAGAAGTCCATTTCTTTCTTGATACTACTTGAATATTGCTTTTTAAAAGCAGTGTAAAACCATACTCTTTCAATAACAGGCCACAGAAGGTTCACACAAAACTTAATACCCAGACTGGGCATATTTATTTCAGTGAAGTTATGTGCTCAGTTAAAATAGTCAGATGTCACTATTGCACCCAAAATGGCCATACTGATTGAAAACGATGGAGAAATGTATTGTATACAAACCCATGGAGTATTGACAAAGGAGTTGCAGTATGATGTCTGTAAACTGAAATTAAATATATTGTGTCTACACATAGTTTTCAGGTTTTTTAATTTGTATATAAAACAGATGGCAATAGAGCTGTACGTGTATGAAACCTATCGACAACTGTGAGGTGTATCCTGTATATTTGTATTAAACATTCATTCATCGGGTTTCTCCGTTCTGTTAGAGACTGTTCGTCCTATACAAGAGGCATTACATACTTGATGTAAAGCAACTTAAACATGTTAAATGAGGATTGGGTGGTTACAATATGTGACCTTGGTACTGTAGTACAAAGTGATCTTAGAGCTAAGGTGATTGTTAGGGCGGTGGGGTAGCATAGTGGTTGAAGCGTTTGCTTGTCATGCCGAAGATCCTGGTTCGATTCCCCACATGGGCACAATGTGTGAAGCCCAGTTCTGGTGTCCTCTGCCGTGATATTGCTGGAATATTGCTAAAACCGGCGTAACATTAAGCTCACTCTCTCACTTAGGTGATTGTTACATCCATACCTTGACAGAGACGTAGCACTAAGGTTATTCAGTACAACAGCACCCTGTTTCACATCTCCCTTGATTACCATTGTTCGTGATGCTGCCAATTAATGGTTGCCAATTTCTGACGACTGGTGGATTATGCCTCTCGTTACAATCATATAATTTATGTTCGTACTTCCATGAAGATCTGAGGATACCTCCTTTGGAACTTCGGGTAAAATCTGATTTCTCTTTGACTACTTAATGTAAGTGAAAGATGTTTGGGGTCTTGAGCCAATCAGCTGTCAAAGTTAAGATAGGATTCAGCTTTATTGCTTTCACACCTAATTTGGGAAATATAGACATAAGAAAGAGATCTTAGCATCGTCTGAATGCTTCAGTCTTGTACCCTGGTATTTCAAATTCAGTGCTGACTGGCTGATAAGACTTAACCTCCTTTTGGGGCAGTGGGTTAGCCTAGTGGTTAAAGTGTTCGCTCGTCACACCGAAGACCTGGGTTCGATTCCCCACATGGGTACAATGTGTGAAGCTCATTTTTGGTGTCCCCTGTCGCGATATTGCTGGGATATTGCTAAAAGCGGTAGAAAACTAAACTAACTCACTCACAATACCTCCTTGGAAGGTGTCCTCAGAACGTCTCATATTGCATCAAGCAAAATATGTTATTTGGTTTGGGTGATAATTTCATGGCTTCAGGAAGTGAACAAAACAATCCTGAACAAGGAAACTTTGCTATGATTCAAAGTCTCAGGGCAAAAAGACTATTGCTGTTGATGTTTATTGTTCATAAGGATCATCATGATTAGCCTCAACCTGTACCGATACTGTCGGGCTAAAGATGGCTTGATGGTCAGTAGCTGCATCAGCAGGACATCCATTACTAGAAGCTTTTCTCTACTATTAACATACAAGGGCAAGATCATATAGATGAGTTGTTTTACTGATCCTAGGATGCCAACCATTATGATTTTAACAGAATTATATTTAGAACCAGTTTCTGCCAATGAGCATAAGTGATCAATATTACAATTTTGTTAGAAAGGAATACTTTCCTGTGAGTGTAAAGTTGTCAAATATCCCAAAAATTAGATGCATCCAGGGTATAGTGGAGATTTATCAGAACGTATACCCTGGAGATTATCGAGGATGACTTTGTTACACCAACTGAAAACTTGCGTTTCCCGAAACAAGAGTGCAAGACATTTTAAGAACAATCATTCCCATTATGGACCCGTGAAGATCCGGGGTAGAATAGGTCTTCAGCAACCCATGCTTGCCACAAAAGGCGACTATGCTAGAGGCGATTAACGGGATCGGGTGGTCAGGCTCGCTGACTTGGTTGACACATGTCAACAGTTCCCAATTGCGCAGATCGATGCTCATGCTGTTGATCACTGGATTGTCTGGTCGAGACTCGATTAATTACGGACAGCCGCCATATAGCTGGAATATTGCTGAGTGCGGCGTAAAACTAAGCTTACTCACTCACTTTCCCATTATGACACCTGGGCAGCTGACATTAAAAAAATACAATGGAGACCCACTCACCTGTTATGTTCTTCACTGTTATTGCTTGTGAACAATTATATTTACCAGGTTGTATATGTCTTGTGCCATATTCAGAGTGGACTCTTACATCATATGTTTTATGTTGGCTGCATTTTTCATTATTATCATTATCATTGCATGAGAAACACATTGCACCAATGCCAATGATCTGGTTGACTCCCCCAATCAGTGCCACTCTGCTGGTGTTTCTGCTGGTTTTACATGGCCCTCATTTAACCATCACACATTTCCATATTGATTGGTCTTGTTGTTTATTTGATCACCAAAATCCCTTTTTGAACTGATCATGTTATTGTCCCTTATTGAGTTGCTGATGCCATACTTTATTGACCCGTAAAGATCCGGGCTAGAATTGATATCTGTAACCCATGTCGTAAGAGGCGACTAACGGGATCGGGTGGTCAGGCTCGCTGACTTTGTTGACATATGTGATCGTATCCTAATTGTGTAGATTGATGCTCATGCTGTTGATCACTGTATTGTCTGGTCGAGACTCTATTATTTACAAACTGCCGCCATATAGCTGGAATATTGCTGAGTGCAGCTTAAACAACAAACCAAACCAAAACCATACTTAATTACTGTAAATCTTGATGGTGTTACAAACAGGTAATTAATACGAAACTTTGTGACACCTGCTTGCAATAGTTTTATGCCATGGTTATTTTGGCAGACCTATAACCATCAAAAACTACAGCAGTAGTTTATGTTCACACTTCGATGTAAAATAGCAGAACCTCCGTAATGTAGAACCAACTGTAGTGAACAATACAGTAAAAAAATGCTACAATCATACATGAAGTAAAGTAATTCTTTCGTTTGTTTCTTTTTCTTTTAAATAATACATAATAAGGAGAATAATTACATAAAGACGATAATTCCTATTTATTTTTTTAATTCATTTTTTCCCTAAAGAATACATAGAAATATATGTATATAACTATGATAGAAATAAACAGAATTTTGATTAATGAAACTTACACTGCTCTGGCGAGTTAAACTTTTTACATACCTTTGGGCAGAACACGATCAGATGGAAACTAGAGGTCACCTGAAATAGCATTGTTTAAGGAAAAGATTCACTCTTTTGTTTAAAAATACCCAATATACTAGATACCTAAGGCAAATGAGTGTCTCAGTTGTGTAAAGTGCTGCTTTTCACAGTGTGATGTTGCATCCTATACACATTCCAGAAACCAGATCATGGGTTGGAATGCATGCACGCACACTCAATGTGATAAACATTTGAGACATGCTTCAGTTAAGACATTTAAGACATGCATCATATAGCTGGAAACCTGTTTCAGGGTGGTATTAATCCAAACTTACTGGGGTTTGTTTATGTTGGGTTAATATTTGAACATAAAGATTGCTCAAAACCCTCTTCATTAGGATTAATTGAGAAAGAAGTATGTGTCCTTTTCATGCTACCCCCCTATGACATTATTTCTTTTTGTTAATAATTATTGTATTATTATGTCATGTCCACTGTCATATAACCCTTAATAAAAGGTATTATCAGATTTTATTTCATAACAAGTAATTTCACGGAAAGTCATGCTATGGAGTAACCCAGTTTGTTATTTAATAAAATCGTCAAAGTGCGAAACTGTTTTGGACTTTGAGGATTTTATTACATAGTGCGTTGTTATTACATAGTGGGTTGCTACAATGCTATATTCATGGTAAAATTGAAAGGACACCTCCAAGAGTTGTGAAGAGGTCATCATTGTGTTTGTTCTTTGTGAAAATGAGTACCACTTTTGGCTGAGCCAGGTTAATTTCTTGCTCAATATAATTGTCATTATGACAAAAGACGTGTGTCTGTTTTGTGGGTAACCTAGATGTGGTGTGTAAGACAAGAAAATACACTGGTTTAGCCTACCTATCATTTGTTTGGCATGCTCAGATTTTGTTACCTTTAATTATACTCATAAATGTCAGCAATTTCTTTCAATATAATAATTTTTTTATAAGTATTAGCCATTTTCTCTCAATTTTACCATACCGATAAATATAATGAAATTGATTTAATGAATAAATGCATAAAAAGATATGGCTGCGATATTTGAATAAACATGTTTATGTACGATTTCCTTTTGTACATGGTTGACTATTTTGTTACTTTTGAAGAGGGTTAATATATTGGTTTCATCATTTTATTCGAATAGATATTCTTACTGTATCGTATCGTTTATGTTATCTCAGAACATTGTGAATACTTCATGGGTTTGTATACGACACATTTCTTGATATTCCATAAAATCCCTTAATGGGATTTAAACAAGGATCCAGGGTCAGACCAAAGGGGTAAATCACAGCAGCATGATCAAAAGGTAAGGACATTGTCAGTAGGAAAACTCCAGGCCCAGTTACTGAGACTTCTTTCGCTCTCTGGCCTACTGTCTTGGTTGATGCACGTGATCCCAATTACGTACACTGATGCTCATGATGTCAATCACTGGATTGTCTGGTACAGACTCGATTATTTACAGACTGCCGTCTAGGTGGAATCTTGCTGAGTGCGGCGTTAAATAAGAAACAAACAATATTTTGCTCAAATTTGATATCAATGTACTTAGCCCACGTCAGCAAGTCATCAAGGCAGGATGTTGTCCAATGGATGAGTACCACATACAAATACATATGACTGCTAATCAGTCCAGTTGTCTTTGTATTGAAAGGAGGATGTTAATAATCGGGATGTCCAATGAGCCAGACTATTTCATTGTACAAACCATTGCCTGACATTGTGGACTGATATGAGCTGAATGATCATTGGTCCCAGTCTGTTGCAGTTACCTGAGTTTATGTAATGTGTTGATGATTGAAGAATGTAGCATATACAAACCCACCCCTGAAGTATTGACTATGATCTCAGAAATGTGATTATATTACTCTCCAGCATAATATGACACATCATGAATACTACACAGCAGTGAGCAAAATAGCCACTGGCCCGCTAGCCCGTGGCTAGTAAAATTCCAGGTGGGCCAGTTAATCTCCATTATCACTGGTATTGTATTTAAAGCATACAGTTGCCATTCTTAGGCAAGAATCAGACAGGACATGGTTCTGGCTACAGGGGCTGGTGGGGTAGCATTGTGGTTAAGGCGTTCGCTCGTCACGCTGAAGACCCATGTTCTATTCCCCACATGGGCACAATGTGTGAAGCCGATTTCTGGTGTCCCTCACCGTGATATTGCTGGAATATATAATATTGCTAAAAGCGGCGTAAAACCCAAATCACTCACTCAACCTGGTTACAGGGAGACCACAGAGCTCTCTGATTACATCAAACAAACGGTAGGACTTTGTGGTCTTTCCCCACTATAAGGCTTCCTGATTAGAAGTGCTCTGCAGTAACAGGGATGTCATTCAGTGATTCAGTGTACTTGTATACCATGGGCTTGGGTCATCCTTCATAATACTGATCATTGGATTATCTGGTCCTTTCTAAGCTATTTCCAGGCTGCCACCATATGGCTGGAATATTTCTAAGTGCAAAGTGTAACATCATGTAAATCAGATTTTCTTCACCTTGCTTCAGTATCAGGCAGTTAGTCACTCTCACAAAGTTCATGCATGGAGTGAGGCTCATTTTACACCATTATTACACAATGTATTAAGGTGTGATGTTGGAATGTAGTGCATACAATCCTGTGAGACCATTCTTCAGCAACCCATGCTTGTCATAAGAGGTGACTAACAGGACCAGGTACCATGTGCGAAATATGCATTATGTCAGAAAGCGAAGTAAATCTCCAAATCATCAACAGGATCAGGTGGTCAGGCCCACCGGCTTCACACGCCATCATATCTTTAATTGCGTAGATCGATACTCATAATGTTAATCACTGGATTGTCTGGTCTAGACTTGATTGTATACAGACTGAAGTCATATAGCTGGAATATGGCTCAGTCCAGCATTAAACACCAACTAAACAAGTCCTGTGAAGTATAGGTGAGGATGAAGACAGGTGCCCCTTGGGGTGACACAGTAGGATGATGTGCAGCACACCTGTGGTAGCATCTGGTGTATGTAGCTTGAAGTGTTTAATATGGAGAAAGTGCTGTATCAGTTATACATCTCGGCATTGAGTCTATTTTGTACATTTAAGGCCGAAATCAAATAATTATTTGATTTTCATCAAAATGATGAGGCAAGAGTCCTTGTCTTTTATATTGAACAAATTATTGCAAGCATTTATAGATATTTTGTTTCCATGGGTTCCAGTGGTTGACGAATGCTTGGTACTTTTCATATATGATGAGTCATTTTATGGTAAAGTAAAGAAAGAAGGAAACATTGTGATTTTCTTCAATAGCTGCTGCTACAGGACAATAAAATTATGAGGTGATGTGAATCTAATGATTATTTTTTTTGGCCTAACTTGGTTTTTTGGTTGAATTGTCAAGAAAACATCATATTGCTGTTAAGCTGTGATATTCCTGTGGTGTAAGCATTTTTAAGCTGCATACTTGATCATTAAATGTTTAGAAAACGGCTGTGTTCTGTTATTTGTTTTAAACTCTAGTGTAGATCTGTGTGTGTGGCAGATTTCATCAAGTAAAGACAAAAAAGGTAGGGATTAATATCTTATTATTAACCTATAACCTTGAGGTTGTTTACCTGCTCCAAAACCCATCTGACTAAGACCACAATAAGGCCCAGTTTGCATGCCACACATGGGTACAGTGTGAAGCCTATTTCTGGTGTACCCCATCCCTACCCTGTGATGTTGCTGTAATATTGTTAAAAGCTGCATAAAAGCCAACTCATTCACTCACTCTTGCTAGTAAACCCATGCAAACACACATTCACATGTGCATACCCATCATTGTATTAAGTGCAATGATCTTGTACATTGTATAAACATTAAATCCGCCTTTCGGCACCTTGCACCCACTGACACCCAATGTTCGATTCCCCACATGGGTACAATGTGTGAAGCCCATTTCCGGTGTCCCCTGCCATGATGTTTCTGGAATATTGCTAAAAGCGGCGTAAAACCATACTCACTCACCCACTCACTCACATACCACAAAATGTAACTGTTATTATTATGGTTTATTACATTGATTATCATTATGCACAATGATAATTACTGATTAGTTTAAAAACAAACCCATAAGTATCAATTGGAAGCTTTCACTCTCACCACCATATTACTATCAACATATGACATCAGTAAATCAAAGTTGTAAACGGCTTTGTGACGGGTGGAACATAAAACAACTTATGTCCTGTCAATACAAGGAATACCACAACCACCAATCTGGATCATCTGATTCACATTGAAACACTCGATGGACCTATATTTACAAACATTAAATATTATATTGTTTATGGTCAGATTCATGACTGCTAAACAACAACTAGTATTCACTCTAGTTGAATGAGATGATGATATTAGAAGATCACATTAAAAACAGTCCTAAACTCCACTAAACTCTTTCATCCTGAGTCAAGTACCATGCTGGTTGACTATGTTGGTTAATGCCTCACTCAGCAATGTTCAGCTATGATGGCAACATTTACATAATTGGAACAGACAAACCAGTGCATGATATTATAAGCAACTATCCCTATTCTAAGGAGACCACCTCCGTGGTGTAGTGGTTAGAGCGTGAGCCCAGAGAGCGGAAGGTCACAGGTTTGATCCCTGGCCGCATCTTACCAAAAGACGTTAAAATATGGTACTTGTTGGTCCCTGCCTGATGCTCGGCATTAATGGGTACATGAACTACTGGTCGGCTTGGAGTCAGTATAATGTGTCTAACTTGGGTATTCATGCTTCACTGCGGCATGGTATCTGATCAGTGGGCTTGCAGTATAAAACCAGCTTAAGTCTGGGCTAGTACAAGCAGCCACACATACACACGCATGCACATCGTCATATGAGCAAAATATTCTTAAGTGCGACGTTAATCCCCATTTCACCTCACCTCACCTCACCTTATTCTAAGGGGACAATAGCCAAATGAGTCACGACCAAAATCACTGAGTCACCTCTTGAAGAATTGGGTCCTGGGACCTTTCCTGAATCCGATTCCTCAATGGAGTGGACAACCATGAAATATACATGGATATCAAAGACCCTTATGAATATATGGCTTGTTCTAATATAATTACATAGCACTAAACATTCAACAGTGTGAATAAAAAACATCTGAATTAATGTAGGGTGAAATTTATGAATGTCAACTCTTGTAATTCGAGGATATGGCTCAGAGTACGATGGAGTAACAATATATTGTATTTTATAGTGTATATTGGTACTATGTTCATAACGAACATGCTTATAATGAACTGACAGGATATAACAAACTGCCATTTACTCTATATTTTAGTCAAAATACTTATAACAAACGAGAATTAGTGGTCCCTTTGAGTTTGTATTAACCATAGATTATTGAGCCCCAATCAACAAAACATTTGTCGCACTAAGAAATTCGTAAGCCAATGATAAAGTGTAGAGATACAAAAGGCCTTAACATTCCGAACGCTTTGTAGACTGAGACCCTTGACTCTGAAAGGACACATTCCTCATGTTATAATAGATGTCATCCATAAATTTCCCCTTCATGTGTATCACTAAATACCATTGAAAGACTTATCTGAATCAATGCTCAGAGATTTAGCAAAGGACACTAATTTCTGCTTTGGCTGAAGGCCACATTGTACTGCTTTGGTTATATGTTGTGTTAATGCTATCGGACATCAGTAAGGCAATGGAAGAATATACGGGTAAATTTTAATAAAAAATACAATATCACAAGAAAGGTTTGGCATTAAATAATTGTTACCAAAACTGTAACAATTTTTATAAAATGAATACAAGAGTATGTAGGAAGTAAGCTGAACAGTGCTGAATAAAAGTGTTATTTGTATGAACATACTGAGTTTTTTGGTTTTACGCCGCTTTTAGCAATATTCCAGCAACATCACAGCGGGGGACACCAGAAATGGGCTTCACACATTGTACCCATGTGGGGATTCGAACCCGGGTCTTCGGCATGACGAGACAACGCTTTAACCACTAGGCTACCCCACCGCCCGTACGAACATACAACCTCATTAAATCCAGATAGGGATCTCAGGATACTCTCCTGATACATATCTCTCATGGTAAAGATATGTGACACCTCCACACAAAACACACATATCTGACTGCTACTATTTTTCTTTTCTTTTTTTTTTGGGGGTGGGGAAAGAGAGAATATGCCATGGTGCTCAGAAATGACAGAGTGTATAAAATATCACTAATATAATGCTGTGGCCTATATTATTCACATTCAGAACTGGTTGTTTTAGTATGTTTCCCAGGTGCTGAAAATGAGATCTGCTGGTCTCAATGCTTTGTTCACTTGTATCAAGTATTCAGAGTGAGTGAGTTTAGTTTCACGCCGCACTCAGCAATATTAAAGCTATGTGGCGGCGGTCTGTACATAATCGAGTGAGAACCAGACAATCCAGTGATTAACAGCATGAGCATCGATCTGTACAATTGGGAACCGATGACATGTGTCAACAAAGTTAGCGAGCCTGACCACCCGATCCCGTTAGTCGCCTCTTACGACAAGCATGGGTTACTGAAAGTCAACATTCTAACCCGGACCTTTATGGGTTTCGCTTTTCAGGAGGAAGGCCTCGTTTCGATTCCTGGGTTCAAGTATTCAGATGTTTCAACACTAATTGGGTAGGACGTTCAACTTGACACAACCTTGTGTTGTCAGATTTTCATCCAGAGAGGTATCCTATCTCAGTAATCTCAGTCTTAATACGATCGTGTGAACATCATAAACACATTCTGATGTTACCAGTCTGTGCCTTAATCACTGGTTTTACTGCTGTCAATTCCTTTTAGGCAAATGAACAGAGCTTAAAATAACCATTGTTTTCAGTAAAATGCACTGAAAGTCATTCTGAAATCTGTGCTTAGACACATCCGTGATTTTAGCACAGACTTGGTTAATACTTGAAATGGCTTCGGAGTATATACATACATATTGAGCATGAAACTTTGAAAAACATTACTAACACTATACCACTCCACTTTAGAAGAGGATATTGTTATTTTTCAACAACAATACCTTGGATAGCTCATCACAGCCACATAGAAAGCCTGGTCTTTGTGCCTCCAGGACAATGCCATATTTAACATATTTTTTCGTAAGAATATTTGTGTTTTGAGCATACAAGACATGCATGTGGATCAGTAAATCAATGTCTGCAAAGGATCTTAGAGCTACGATGATTCTAACCTCCAAACTGTTATCACAGTCTTTGACAGTCGTAGCAGTAACATCACTTTGTGGAAGAGGCTCTTGGACGGGTTTTGAGAGCATTCTCAGGAATATGGACCCCGGACCCTACATTCCATACTAGTATTTCACACGTAATGGTAGCTTCACCACTTGTCACATTAACTTATAATCTGCTTTAAAGAGCCACCCTCCTTTACTGTATACTAAACACATTTCTTGATCTGCACAGCAAGGAGAGACACAGTTCTAGCAGTGTACAGAGTTATCTGCCCTGCCTCAGAAGTATTTTGCTGAGGTAGGCGTTGGTATCACCCGCGACGGTCCAGGTTGTTCCTTCCTCTTCTCCAGCATTTCCCGGCGAAGCATAATCTCTTTCTTAATGGCGTCATACTCTGGGTGGTTCATGGCATAGGTGAGCTGATACAGGCGGGGTCTCGAGCGGGGCACATAGAGCTGCCCGAACATGTCCGTCTTGTGGTACACCTGTGGAGATGGGGGCAATTCTTGGGGGGCAAAGAAATGGGGAACATATCTCTTGTAATTTTCTGGTGGCAGAATATTTCCTGAAAATAAGAAGGAACATGTTTTGAGTTATAGACAGACAGACAGACAGACATATTTTGTGAATCACACTGTCATGTGTGACCAAAGTGCATTTACAACTGGCTTCATGTGATAAGCATTATTATAAAATACTGATATTAAAATGACATATGATTTCTAAGAGTGCCCCTTGAGGCACAGGAACTTTTAGCGAAGGCATTACCGGTACAATTTAAACTATGCATTGGCAGTAACATGCAAGATATTTTTAACTTAAAAGCATGAAAATCACCAAATATGAATTAACCAAAGCTTGTATTTTCCACAACAACAAAGATTACCATCTTCATCTAATGGAGGATTCCTGGACTCTGTCTTTATCTTCAGTTTCTTGAACTCCTGCACATCGGCCTTCGTCCTCTGGATAGCCACCATCTTGTACTTGTCATCTTCAAATATCCGCGACTCCGTGATGTACTTATGAAATGTATTTTCCCCCACTTTGGATGGAGCTGGAATGTTCAGTGGATACATGGCCGCTATAACGTCAGACATTTTCCTTCCATCAGCTGTTGTATCAAAACCATAATGGCGCCTAAAGTTCCGCCAGACATTGCTGTTATAACTGGAATCTGGTCGCTCTGGAAATGGTGGCTTGTGCTTCCCTGCCTCCAGCCACAGACGGTATTCAAGAGTTGGGTTTCCATGGGTGAAGTGCTTAGATTTGGTACGGAGAAAATGGTGGCATTCTATGTCTAACGAGGTTTGTGGTTTTCTTTGCCTTGATAGCTGCTCAACTGGCCGAGGTGTAAAACCACTATAGTGTGGAGTTAAGGTGTTCATTAAACGTTCCCTTTCTTCTATAGTCGGCATAGTCTCTTCACCAACTTCACACATGACAAAATCCTGGAAGGGAATGATTGGGTGATGTGTTAATAAGTCAAGATAATTTAATGCCTTTAATTATGTTTTAAAATCTAATTAATATACATCAAACTTAGTGACGGATATAAATGAACTGGTTTCTTAAATCCCAGCACTTGCTGCAGATTTTAGTCAAAATTCATACAGTGAGTGAGTGAGTGAGTGAGTGAGTGAGACTGAATGAGTTTGGTTTTATGCCACTTTTAGCAATATTCCAGCAATATCGTTGTGGGGGACACAAGAAATGGGCTTCACATGTTGTACACATGTGGAATTGGACCCGGCTATTTGGCGTGACGAGTGAATGCTTTAACCACAAGGCTACCCCTCCACCCCCAAATTCATATAACAAAGTATGGTTCTAATGAACTAAACTTTGTGGTCCCTTTAGGTTGTTGCAATTGTAGTTTATTTTTACCAATAACAATGCAGTCATGAATTTGTTTCAGTTATATTACTGCAGATTTGTATGAAAACAAAAACCTGCCCACTGAATGCAGCATGTAACATTAGATGCTTATGAGTTTCTCTTTCAGGAAAATTATTTCATGACAATTTTATCTTGAGTGACAAAATATTCATTTGTCACCTTTGTTACATTAGAACTGTTTAAAATTCCTGTTTCTTCTGGCAGTTATTCATTTTATTACAAAAGGTAAAAACTCTTGTTTAAATCCTTCACTTGAAGCAACACAATATATATATACCTTAACAAGTCACCTCCTTCCTTATGATATAACAGCTTTATTTCCCAGCTGACATACATTGTATATATTACCCAGATTTTTAAATAAAAAGGCTTTTCAGTACTTGGACAGAATTTCTGCAATTTCTCTCAGGCCACACCATATAATCTGGCACATACTAGCCTTTCCCAAATCATGTTTATTAGACAATCTAGCAGTTGAAGAGGACTGTACATATTACTCAGATTCTGAAGAAAGTGTGTTCAGTACTTGGAAAGACTTTTGGCAATTTCTCTTACAGAAATGTATGGGAACATCAAAAGGCTGATGTTGGATCACATCTTTTAACATTATTCTGAATATTAAAAGAGAGTAACAACAGGTCTGTCAATCTTCTGGGAGTCTGGGGATTCAAAAACAACACAACAAATATGGTACAATTGGTGGAATAAGTAAGGAGTGTTTGTCTTATTATCAAATGTATTATAAAATAAAATTATTATACATATAAATATATAGAGATAAATTTACTCTATTATTGTTAATAATTATAATAATTTTACTTGTTATGGTGTCATGCTTCTGAAAACATTTTATTGCAACAAAAACATTGTAAGTCACTTTTCCATTGACACAGTGTAAATATAAAAGGATTGTGAATAGTATTTACAACACACCCATTTACTTCAATTCCTATATTACAGCGCGTTTCTCTTCAACGGGAATATAATATCCCTCATAGCATGGTCAACAAAAGACAGGCCAAATGGTATTGTGCTATTAGTGCAGATATTTCCCTTCAGTCCTGGACGCCCGTTGCCAGAACCTGCCAACTCAACTGTGTGATGGAGTTGTTGTTTTTATTACAATGTTGACATTTTGCTGTAATATAAATTAATATTCACCATGAATTTGTTATACAACTTACTTATTTAAAAAATATCGCTCCCATTCACGTATGAAATAGTATTCCTGGAGTCCTATGACGCTTTCACTCCCCTTCTATTGTCACATATAGACGCCATTTAGAAGCGCGCACCTGTCGTCATGGTACCACAGGTAGGTCTCGCGAAGCGAAACGTGAATTGCTCTTGCGGCGACCATCTCTCCTCCCCGTAACGGGATTTACAGGTATGTTATTCTGTTCCGAATATCTCCTTCTCTTAAGTTTGCGAATATTTTTTTTCGACTCAAGCTAATAATACCATCTTTACCTGAGCATATCTTGATGATATTAATACACATCAACGAATGAAAATAGGATCCACGTATTTTCCATCCCGAGGGAGTGATGGCACTGTAGGGAACAGCTGGTAACTGTTTATGGTAGGAACGGTAAACATGGCTGTGCGGTATCCTCACGGTGGGCCATGCTTGTAGTGAGTAAGTTACACGGTCACATGAATGTACTTCTTGGATTGACGGGGAAGGAATAACAGAATCCAAAGGGATACGCGTGCAGCACAAATCAAAGGTATACTGTTGCATTTATACTGGTGAGTCTTCATGCTCCCGTACAGCACATCTGTTTACGGTACGCACGGAATGCACGTGCACACATGTCAGAAGTGTGAAAAGCATAGTTTCCACGCTTGTGACAAGCCGGTGCTCTTGCATGAAGTCGAATTGAAAACATAATCAAGCTGACAGGGAAATAATCTGTACGTAGCGAAAGTTATAAATGTTTATAATACATATGTTACTATTTTAATGACAACTTGAATATAAGCAAATGTAAAACGCGTTTGCATCATTTACATCATTGAAAGAATAGATATCACTCTTTGATTCAATGAATGAAGCTGAAGATTACATTAAATGATAATATGAAATTGAAGCATAGGATACACACATAAGCGGAGCCGGGTGTGTGTGTGTGAAGGGGTGCAGCCCTTTGTCCTGAAAGTTTATTAAATGACCATTGAAACTCTCATGAAAATGAAGTGTGCACCTCCCCCCCCCCCCCTTTCTCAAAAGCTGTATCCGCCCCTGATCATTAATAATTTATGCCCGTCATTTCTCAAGACTTTACAATTGCTTCAGTTGCATTACCAAATTGAAATATTCCCCAAGGGGAATGTGTCCATTTTACATTTTCACTAATGTGTCACAGTGAAGGGCATCAAACTCATTTGTCAGTATGATATGACTAATTGATTGTAAAGGTACAGTATCACGATTATAGGGAAAAGAGCATTATTTTAAGTGGCCGAGGGACCCGTGAAGATCCGGGTTAGAATTGATCTCTAGTAACCCATGCTTGTCGTAAGAGGCGACCAACAGGATGGGGTGGTCAGGCTGTCAGACTTGGTTGACACATGTCATCGGTTCCCAATTGCGTAGATCGTTGTTCATGCTGTTGATCCCTGGATTGTCTGGTCCAGACATGATTATTTACAGACCGCCGCCATATAGCTGGAATATTGGTGAGTGCGGGGTAAACTAAACTCGCTCACTCACTCAATTAGATGAGAACGGCACTTTATGGATGAACAGCTTCTTTATTCGGGTGACGCTCTGTTTCAATACAGATTCTTGTATGGTTGTCAAGCAAGTATGCGTCGGGTAAAAAACAGGGTTATCTATATACAGTAAATAATTAACAAGAACAACAAGAAGTCAATTTCTCAATCCTTTAGTTGAGTGAGGATTCAGAATACATTGCTGTTTTTATGTATTTAAATAGATTGAATTTATGTATATAAATCAGGTAAATTTTTAACACAGACTGGCATCAGATCTGGTATATTATTATGCTCACATTTTTTAAGAACTGAAAAAGTAGTACTTGTATAGCGTATCCACATTGAGCCAAGAAGTACCTGAAAACAGTTATCAAGTTTAAACAGGTACATGTTGAAGGTCACAGTATAGCCCAACACAACTGATTGCCCTTCATGTTATGTATCAAGCTAATTAGTCCAGTGCTGTTTATTGAAGTTAATTAGTCAATTCAGTGTCTTGAGGTTAATTATGTTGCATGTTAATTACATAACACATACAAGGATTGAAACTAATTATGGGGTGTGTAATAAAAACATGAATAATTATTCTGATGGCCAGAATATTTTGACAGTTCACAACTTAACATGCTGAACTCTCTCACCCCTTGAATGGTCAGTTATTCAAATTTTGAAGGTTTCAAATCTGTTATGTCAGATATTTCTTGAGACCAAGCACAATTACGAGACTCCAATATACTGCTGTGGTTCCAATGTTTTTATTACATCAAATATTTGCAATTCAGTTATAATAATAACTTAATAACAATAACTCATCAAAATAAGACTTCAAAGGTTTTGTACGTGTTATTAGGAAAGATAAGAAATCCTGGCATTATGGGAATATATCCACAGGCCTCAGTTTGCTTTTGATCACTGGATTGTCTGGTCCAGACTTGATTTTTTACAGACTGACGCCATATAGCTGTAATAGTGCTGAGTGTGGCGTAAAACTAAATTCACTCACCTCAAACAGTTATCCAGGCACATACTGACTTTGGCAAATGCTTGAATGCTCAAAAGTTTCCTCCCTTGTTCAGTTAAGTTATTTCCCTTTCTAAGGAACCACTGTGGACAACTATTGTGTACCACCTTTTTTAATCTGTCTAAAGATAAAACAAATATTAAAGTGCAGAATTTGCTCCATTCAAATTTGTTTTCAGTGTAGCACCATCTTTCAGCTTTCCCTGTGAGTTATTTCACCAAATTGTGTAATATCTTAAAATATATGCAAAGGTATTAAGAATTGACAGGGTATTGTACACTTTCTGAAAAATTAAAAACAGAACTATTATTGCATGAATAGATGGGTAAATTGTGAATATTTCAGAATATCATGTGCACTTATGCAGACAGCAGCAATGACAACCTGAGGATTGTGCCTTTAAGAATTACTTGTTTGTTTTTTCTTTAATGTGTGTACTTGGTTTATGACATGGCCGTAATGGTATTGATTGTGTTGATGAAAAGTTAATGAAACACCGGTGTTACAAGGAAAGTGGAATCTGCAAGTAGATAATTAGATCTCAACTTATTCCAGTACTTGTCAATAATAAATGATTTTCATTATGTGTGAGGAATTTCACATTCCAATGTGTTTTTCTCATCACTTGATTCTGTTGTGGTGGTGGGGGTAACGTAATGGTTAAAGCGTCCGCTCGTCTCGCCCGAAAACCCGGGTTCAATTTCCCACATGGGTACAATGTGTGAAGCACAATTCCAGTGTCTCACGCCGCTTTTAGCAATATTCTAGCAATATCACGGCGGGGGACACCAGAAATGGGCTTCACACATTGTACCCATGTGGGGAATAGAACACAAGTCTTTGGCGTTATGAACGGTTGCTTTAATCACTAGGCTGCCCCACCGCCCCGAAAGTAGCACGAAAGAACAAAATGGACATACATATGTTCACATCAATAACGAAAAGGGTCTGCCAGTTTTTACAGTAGTTAACTGCATCTCTGATCATCTGTTATATTTAACTGTTAAATTGAACAGCATCACTGCCATTTGTGAAACAAAAACTTCAAGACTTGTCAAGTTCCAAACTACTTTATGGTGTTTTTTATGGCAACAATTTGTGTTGCTCAAATATGTTTTTTGTGATATTTCCTTGGTTAATTTTTGTCAATATCAGCAATTTTACGACATAGTTTTTTGGGTGGACATGTTATCACAAAAATAATATGGAATGGATGTTTTTGTTACATGTGCTGATATACTAGTATGTAAGTATGCCAGTATGTAAGTATGCCAGTATGTAAGTATGCCAGTTGCAAGACAGTGTAACACATAGCTTCACAAAAGTGAGGCATTTCAAACCAAATGTATGGTCTAAGCTAACACTTGCTGCGGCTGAGTGGGTTAGATCTCTGGCTTTGTGTGCTGGCAGTTAGGTGCCTAAATCTGTGCGTGTTAGTGTGGGTTTGAATCCCATATGGGACTCAACTTAAAAAAATACTTGAATCTATACCCTTCAAAGTGTAATCTCAAAATATGACATGTTAAAATGCAACATGTCGCTATGTTAATATAGTCTTTAAAGGTCACATGCAACGTAAAACACAGATTTGCAGATTCTGATACCTTTCGGTATGGACTTACCGAAACAAATCGTCAAAAATGCAAATTCAACTTATAAAGTTGAAAAATAACGCGATGAAAAAACCTGCGCGAAATCGGAGTTCAAACGTTTCACCAATTTCCCCCCGACTTTTCTGGGGAAAACGGGTTTCAACAGCTGGGCTGCGCTCATAGCACGTGCGCAGTGAAATAGGTTCGCGCAGCTTGGAAGCGGGTTGTCCGGTGAATACTCGGTGAAGGCTTTGGTGTGAGCCATTTTTCTAATGTTTTGTTGATATCTCACAGACGCGAGCTTTTTATATGTTATGACAGTAAATTAACTGTTTATATCATTTCATTTGTCTATTTCACCACACGTTCTTCTTACCGAGTCACTTTCTCAGTTCGATACCTAAAAGCAATGTCATTATTTAGCGTTGACAGAATTTCTAACTGTGATATAGATATGTCGTTGTCACAGACAAAACTCAATGTCTTGTTTTATTCACACCTGTGTGTCTGCCTGCCTGTCTGCTAAAGACAATATTCAATACACAGCTGCTATCACTGACCACATGCAATTTGAACTTAACACCAATCAGGCTATACACCATAAACAAAATGCATTGATTTATGGCCCGAGTTCGGTCTCTGTCACATTATGTAATTACACAGACAGGCAGGTGTGATAGTTGAACACATGACATGTTATGATGTCTGTTGATTGCAAAATGTTATACACAAAAAATGAGCATGTATAATACAAAACCCAACATCTCTATATATACACACACAATGAGCCGTGAGGGCATCTGCAATGAACCCGCCGTTACACTTGAGTGCACACCAGCCCGCTTTGACTGGGTTCGGTATCCAGGCTGCTTCGTTTCTTGAGAAGTAAACCCAAGTACACAATATTTCACTTTTGATTTGCGATTGTACGCTTATAATTTTGTTTATATGTTTTTTCGTAACCAGCAATGTAT